ATAAAGGAAAAAAAGAACCTCTAATACAACCTGCTGGAAGTGTGTTATGTAAGTAGATCTACGTACAGAGACCTTTTTTCTGAAATGTTTTTTTTTTAAAAAAAAAATGAGTGAGGTTTTTCAAGTTCGACTATATATTTCCTCTTACCATGCTTTAAAGACTTGCTGGTATATTTGTACCTATTTGGGCTAACTGTGTCTTTTCCTGTGACTTTTTGTGTAGGTTGACTTCTTCCCATGAACAAAGTTGTGATCTGCGCAAGGAGTACTATGTAGTGAATTAGTATTTAGTCTTTTTAGGATGGTTGATGTTTTAGCAGCAGTTAAGGATGATTAGTGTTTGTTAAACAATTGGTTGTGTTTTAAGAATTATGGATATTGGACTGATTTGTGTTAATATGTTTTTGGAAAAATATTTATCTAGATTTTGATGCCATGTCATTGTGCTATTTTTTCCTAATTGTAGCATTTGACCCTATGCTATTTGTTCATACCAATTCAAACTAAGCCTTAAAATATTTCACCCAGCAAACTTAAATGGTAGATTTCTTCCCCCTATTGATTTTGTAAAAAGAGAAGAAACATTCATGGATATGAAATGAAACAACTCAAACAAAAAAGAGAGAGAAGACATGCAGGTGGTTGTTTTCTAGATGCACCATAACTGCAGTTTCGTTCAACATTTCAAACTTTTCGGCTACAACACAGTGGATTAAGTGTTGGAGGGTGAATAATGTATACCCCACCGTTTAGGGTGTGTAGTGCTAGTGGTGGTAGTACGCTATTACTAGTTGACTGCCAATATCCTCAAAAATTGATGTTACGTCACCATTAGTTGATCCCAATTGTTTTGAGTTGAATCATGGTAAGAATCGATTTTTTCGAGCTAACTTTAAAGTTTTTGGGAGTTTTCTGATTAATTTTTGATTGATAGTTTTTAGACAAGACGTAAATGAAGTCTCCCTAGCTAGTCGTACCGTGGATCATCTTAACACAAATATTACTATAACGTAATATTATTTTTTAATTAAAACACGTGATCACCAAATTCACACATATATTCATTAAAATAAATTAACATCATATCAGAGACATCATTTTGTCTCTGTGACTTTGGTGCGTGGATATATGCCCCTGTCTTTTATCTTTACTCTTCTCTATTTTCCCTGCATTAATAACGCGAACAAAATTACACTATTTATACCCCTCAGATCTCTCGCTTATTTTCACACTATTCAATCCTTTCATTTTGCAATATTGTCCACCTCTTGTCAAATTTCTCTACAATTTTTCCTTTGTTTTCAGCCGCTTGCAATGTGCACCTCACACCCAAACCATCCCTTTTATTGTTTTAAATAGGGGTGTTAATTTGGTCGGTTCACTTTGGTTGAGCTTATTCGGTTCGGTTAAATCGGATTTTTTATGCTTGAGGAACCGCCCAATAACTGAACCGATATTATAAAAATTCAAACCGACAAAAAACTGATCGGTTTGATCGGTCGATTTGAACCTAAACCGAACACCACAGTATCGTTCCTCCTGTCCTCTATTATATCCAAAAATAGTCTAGAAAGTCAATTCTTTAAACTTAAGTCAGTCTAGAAGTAAAATTTCAAAAGTCTTAAAATTTCAATACATATCCAAACACAATCCAGAAATCAACATAAATCAAACTTCAAGGTTTTATTTCAACAACAATACAAAAGCAAAAACATAGGTTATCTGTCCTTCGAGAGGCTTTGATGATTCTTTATCCAAAAATTGAAACTTGCAAACAAAACAATACGCAGAAAATGTCTAGATCTCAAGCTTTTAGTGGAGGTCCTCAATAGATCTGTGGCGTGACCGGCATTTAAGGGGGTGAAGTTGCGGTCGATTGGAAAAAAAAGAGATTGTAGGTCGATTTTGAAGTTGATTTATTGATTACGAAGTGAATTGGAATTTGAGGAATGAATTTCGTCGTCAAAGAGGTAGGTTAATGGAGCTGGCCACCATCGTTCTTCTGAACGGCAGAGGGAGAGAGGAGATAAAGGAGGCCAAAAAGGAAGCCCTACTTGGAAAAAGACTATTTATAATTCTAAAATAAATTTAAAAAAAGTAATTGTAAATTTCGGTTCGGGTTTCGGGACGGCCCCGAAACTAAACCTTCAAACCCAAACTAGCCAACATAACCAATAATTTTACTCGGTTATGCCCGAAAACTGACCCGATTGACCGCAAATCCGACCCATTTAACCCAAAATTGATTCGGATCGGGCGAATTTTCGGGTATACCCGTTTAACTAACACTCCTAGTCTTAAATGTGAAGTGGGGTTTAATACTGAAAATAAGCTAATAATTCACAATTCTTTCTATCACAAACGCCATCCGCACAAGTGTCTTGACTGTTTCAAAACCTGGTACCAAAGTTGTCGTCTTAAGAATGATAGTAGCTTGATCTTCGATCTTCTTATTCAAAGTTTCCACCACTTTCTTGTGTTGTGAATCCAAATCTAAAGGTGAAGAAACTCTCTCCCTTTTACCATTCAATGTATAATAACGGCATGCTTGAGATCCAAGACTATTACCATTTTCTTTTTCTCACCTCCAGCAGCATCAAAATAGACTTCCTTCCCAACCTCCATGTAATCATTCTCATCTAACTCAAGGTTCTCTTGATTCTCTTAGCGCAAACGCTTTATCTCTTCTTTCAAACTCATTACCTTATCCTATAATTATAAGTCACCCATATGGGAAGAAAATCAGAATTCAAGAATGCCAAAATATCACAAGTACAACTTGCTTTTAACTAAAACCTATTAGACACTTAGAGCAGCCAAAAACACAAGTGAACTATATATGTACAAAGAATGAGAAATGACACCATCAATTTTGCATTAGACAATCAAAACACCGTCTATAGGACAGAGATGGAGTTTTGTTTAGGCCAAGTGAAGTTAGAAACTTACATGAAATTTCTTAGATTTGGAATCAATAAAGGTCTTGCCATCATGTTTCTTTGTATGCATAAAAACAAAGATCTCATATGGCGTAGGTGGCTAACCTTGCGCAACTACCTACATATAACAATGAATAGATTTAGCCACAAAATTTAAAGAAGCAAAAAAAAAAAAAAACACACACACACACACACATATTCTATATCATTCAACAACCAGCTACTAATGCTTTATTGAACAACCCAAAAAATTACAAGATAGAATTAAAGACCACAAAGTGGGTCCTCAATCTAAGAAACTAAGGAGCTTGGATTTCTAATTCAAAGAAATTAAGCAACAGTCAGAACTCTAACATAAAATCAGGCTAGATGTAACAAAATCATTGCACTAAACACACTACAGTAAAATAAAATTAACAAGGAGTTCCAGATAATAGTAGATATCATGTTTCATTCACAAACCTGAAGAACAACCAATCATGGTACTAGACTCTTAGAGTTGGGTGCATGCATGACACAGGGAGAAAACAACTTTTTTCAAAATCTATGGATTCACCCATATCATTAGAAACAAACAACCAAATTCACAACTTGAAATCTCAACAAAAACGGGATTCATGTATACCATGAAGCAACAAAAATTTGGAAGTAGAAAATACAACGTAATCCATAAGTCATAACTATAGCTCAGATAAGAGTTTTTGGCGGAAGGTTTGAGATTTAAGAAAAAGATATATCCTGTCTAAACTTAATTTTTGCATAATCCGTAACTCTTTTTTCAAATCCATTAAAACTACATTTATCTAAATTAAATACAGAAGAGTTTTTCAAAAAGAAATTCTAGAAAAGGGTTCAAGACCTAAGAGAAATACGGTTGTTAACAGAAGAAGTCTGATATGATTCTTCTACATTTTCGGCGATGAACATGTCTTTTTTAAATAAGATTTTCGGACAAATTAGGAGATATCTCATTATCCGTAAAAACTGAATTAAACTACACTAAATGAAGAAGAATTTCATAAAAATAACACCGGAAAAGACTTTAAGGTCTAGGAGGAAAAAAAAAAACTGTTATCGAGGGTCTCAATTTGATATTTCTGCACTCTAAAAAAGGTAAGTTGTTTGAATCTATATTTTAAAAGATTCATAAGGCCATTTGGCAAACCATAAGAATTGAAACAAATCTTAGTAACCTAGGAAGTGTTTGGTGTGAAAAACATGCATAGAAAGAAAAACATTAAAAGCACTAATTAATGTTAGGATATAAAAAGAAAAAAAAATAGTTAGGATACAAAAGACTTATAAGTCTTTCCGCGTGCTCAAGAAAGGACACTGACCCTCCAGTGTGAGCTGATGATCCTTTCTCACTTCTTCGATTATTTAAATTCATTGCTCGTACTTTTGTGCATTCAGGAGTAGTCCAATGTCTCATGAAACTCATCCATACACCATCTTGCATGTAATCTGGTTTTTCACCTTTGATTCTCAATTTTCTAGTGAAATCACGATAGCGATTATCAGCTAATTTTTCCCATGTTTTCTTTATTTGCACTTTTGAATCACGATTCCATGTAAAAAAATTTTACACAAAACAAATCATGTATCAAACGCGGAATTACGATTTCACTAATCAATCTTTCATAGTTTAGTCCATATTCTACTTCACATAAAAGGCTTTTCTCATTTGTATACCATTGTGCACAAATTAAACTAATGACCTTAATATGAACATGCTCACAAGTAACCAAGTGTACATTAAAAGCTTTACCTTGAACTCATCCCAATAAAAGTCTCTTGTAGTTTTGGTCACACTTGCCCAAGTGCATACTCCCAACATCTAACCTTTCCTCGTCCAACTCTAGATATTCATTTTCCCAAAAAAAAAATAATAATAATAAAATAAAAAAGAACCTAGATATTCCATTGATTGATTGCTACTTAGTGCTTATACTTTTGGTTATTCTATGTTACAAAATTGTTATTTAGTTCTTATACTTTTACAAAATTATTAATTAGTCTTTATACTCGTAGTTTTGATCAATCTATTTTAACGCCTATTCCATGACACCTGACCCTGTTACAGAATGTTCGAAAAATTATGTCAGCCCAGTCCAGTGATTCAGTCCAAGCCCAGCTATATTCACAGAATATATATACCTGTAGTGTTTAATTCTCCTGCTCATCGTCTTCTATTTTCTCACTGTCGTATCTTCCGCCTCCTAGGGTTTGTATTCCGACACAAAAATGGCTTCAGATTATTCCTTAGGTGCGATGGATCAGATTAAGAAGAGAAAGCTCGATGAAAACGGTCTCGTGATGTTGCCCGATCAAGACGCCGCCGGGATTTCAGTGGAAGACTCCCGCAAAATCCTTGAACCCTTTACCCGTGAACAGCTCCTTGAGATTGTGCAAACTGCCCTGCTCCGCCACGTTGACGTCCTCGAATCCGTCCGGTCCATTGCCGACCGGGACCCAGCTCAGAGGAAGCTGTTCATCCGCGGCCTTGGTTGGGATACCACCACGGAGAAGCTCCGGGCACTCTTCGCGCAGTACGGGGAGCTTGAAGAAGCCATCGTGATTCTCGACAAGGTCACAGGTAAATCGAAGGGCTATGGGTTTGTTACTTTCAAGCATATTGATGGAGCTTTGCAAGCCCTTAAACAGCCTAGTAAGCAAATTGACGGCCGGATGACGGTAACTCAGCTTGCCTCTGCTAGGGCTTCCGGTGGTCCTGCTGGGGGAGTGGGAAATAATCCTGTGGATGTTTCAGAGAGGAAGATTTATGTTGCTAATGTGCCTTATGATATGCCGGCTGAGAGGCTGCTTGCGCATTTTACCATGTATGGGGAGATTGAAGAGGGACCTTTAGGGTTTGATAAGGAAACTGGTAAATCGAAAGGATTTGCTTTGTTTGTTTATAAAACTGCTGAGGCAGCAAGGTCTTCTTTGGTGGATCCTGTTAAGAATATTGATGGTCATCAGCTGAATTGTAAGCTGGCAATTGACGGGAAGAAAGGGAAGCCGGGGGTGGGTGGTCCCGGAGGTGGCAACGGAGGGCACAACAATGGAGTTGGCACAGGCGTGCAAAGTGGAAATCCGGGCCAGTATCCTGGATATCCTGGGTATCCTGGGTCTTCATTTGGCAGTAATCAATTGAATCCGGGATTGGGAGGTTCAGGTGGTGGTGTCCCAGGGATGTCTGGGATTGCAAACCAAGCACCGGGGTCTACAATGGGAGGCGGTGGTGCTGGATTTGGTGGTCCTTACGGTGGAGGATCACATTATGGTGGGCCTGGTTCAACTGGATATGGTGGATTGGGTGGAGCTCCTACAGGATTGGGTGGTCTAGGCAGTGGAGTGGGAGGTGCTGGTCGTGGTTCGTTTTTTGGAGTGCCACCAAGCTCAGGGGGGTTGCCTGCTGGAGAGTATCAACAAAATGGACCCTATAACTTGCCATCATCAGGATATCAAAGCCAGCATCACCAGCCTGGAACATCACCAGCCCCTAGAGTTCCAACTGGAGGAATGTACCAAGGAGTGCACCCATACTATTAAGGTATTTATATATTCCCTCTATGGTTCCTACTCTTTAGATGTTGCATTTTCAGTCATATTGCAGTTTTTCTTGTTTTTCCTCTTTGCTTTGTTTGTATTGTTTTTGTATGTTTCCCTTTACCTTTTTTCCGTGTGCTATTCGTTTTGTTGAATGGTTGGGTATCATGACATCGTATAGAGTGCTCATTGCTTGTTGTTTCTTGACGTGGAACTGGATTGATTTCATGTACCTTTTGTTTGCAGATTGGATTGGATTCCATGCTTCTGTCTTATTTGGTTTGATAGTGATGTTCTTTGTTTGAACTTCGAAGTGGTTGTAGTCTGTTAGCTTGCAGATTGGATTGTTTTCCGTGCTTCTGTTTTGAAATTATGAATCGATGTTCCTTGTTTTAGTTTTCACAATATGTTTATGCGACTTTAATAGCTTTGATTGATCTTTTAGTTTGATTATATCAATGTATTTCCTGAATTATATGTTTCTCTTTCTTATGATCATTGAGTGGACTATAATATGACTTAAGTTTTGTAATCAGTCCTGCAACTTCATTTGACGTTTCTGTGGGATGGGGTCCCTCATATTTCTTCCATCGTTTACTTAATCTGCATTTTTGTTATATATTTTGCTGGTTATACGGGGGTGGAACATTTATTTTTGCTTTCTTGGCAACAACTGTCTGTCAGTGTTTTTGTGTTTTGTATTGTGATATGATGCTTGATCCTAGTTGCATAATTAGCTGTTAAATTAGTATTCTTTTAATTGGCGATTTTCTTTGTTGGCGCAAGCTTATTCTGTTCTTGTAAAACCTAAAGGGGTTGTAATAAAATTGTCAGACATCAAGCACCATTGTTGCGGTTGAGGCTTCTTTGAAGACTCCTGCAACATCAGGTAGCGTTTTCATATCATATCGCCCTGGGTTTTGGAGTTTCAACAATTATCTTCTGGGAATGGCCATGAGGGGAACTTTTATCTATTACTCTTGTAAAGTTTATGATATTTGATCTAGGTGTATAATTATGTCTTATTGACGATTATCTTTATTGGGGCAAGCCAATTCTGTGCTTGCAAAACCCAAAAGGTTGTAATAAAATCGTCAGACATCAAGCACCTTTGTTGTGGTTGAGCCTTCTTTGAGGACTCCTGCAACAATAGGTAGCGTTCTCATATCCTATCGCCCTGGGTAGTGGAGTCTCCACCATTATCCCTTGGGAATGGCCATGAGAAAAACATTCATTCATTAAATCTTGTGGACTGTTTATGAACTCTCTGTTTTCGTGGATTTTGTAATTCCAAAGTTCCTTGGATGTCTGGATTGTTGCTTCCGTGTGTATATTGAAAGAATGTCCATTGTATGTGCTTATATTGCAGTGCTATGACTGATGGATTGATGTGTTGCCTCATTTGTACTCTGGATGCTTGTGCTTTAGGATATCCTTCATGCATGAACTTGTGTGAATGGTACTGCCTGTCTGTAGTCCTATTGTAATTCTTGATTTACAATCCTTCACGAGGAATGTTTAGCTGCACAGCTGATTAGGAAGTAAACTTTAAGAAAATAGTCTTGTTTCTTTGTGTTTGTTTTGCCTCAGTGTTTGAATATAGGGGACTTGGGTCATTCGTGATTCCTTTTTAACTGATTCTGTCTTCTATTGTCGGTAGCTTTTTCAGTTTCTTTCATATTGGCAGTATTTTGACATTTGATTTTCTTCTTTTAGACTTGTTACGTACTCCCATCAGTCCTAGTTTTCTGGCAAAAGTTTAAACTAAATTGGACTTGAGTGTGTTAAATGGACTTAAGCATTAACATGTGTGGTTGCACATTTCCTTTGAGAGATGCGTTCCTCATTTTTAATTTTTCTCAAAGCTCTGCGATTTTGTAGGCTACTGCTCGAGGAGCTGCTTTATTTTGTTTATTACTTTCTTTGTTCATTATTTCCAAAATGTATGTGGATTGATATACATTGATGTGAATGGATGTTGGTTCAGGTGTGTGAGGGCTTGTTGGTGCAGTTCCTTTTATTGGTTCTGGTGATTTCGTGAACGCAGACAATTTGAACTCTGGCTTGATGGTTTTCATTTGCTGTGTACTTTGGGCTCTTCTTCAATACTTCTGCCCATCATGAATGCTTGTAGTCTGAGTTGTTATGCCAGAATAGTTTCTGTTACATTGTTGAACAATGAGCTTGCAAAGTTAATGAGATTGTGGATTGTGGTAGTTTCGATGCAAAGTGGGCATTAGATTGGTTAGGTTAATTTTCATGTTGCTGGTGCGATGTTTTTTTTTTCTGGCCTTTATCTCAACTGACCCTTGTATTAGAGCATTTTCAAACTCTTAGTGAATAATTTACATTTATTGCTATTTGCTTGAGCTCATCCACAAGGTTTTCTTTCTAACTCCCGTGTATCTAGCAGAGCTGCAAAGATTGTTCTGAGGTCATAGTAAATGGGTTACAAATATGTTGTGGTGATCTGGATAACCTCTTTGATGTTTTCTACTGAATGTTATCTGGCTTTATAGTGTGGAAATTGTCATTGGCCAAGCGTAACACATAGATGATATCTTCATCTCTGTAAGTCGTTAATTTTCTGAAAATCTATGCGGCTGCTTTGCATTGCTCTCAAGCATCCTTCTCTCTGATTTTATTTCGGTTGTGCCAAGAAGATGTCTAAATTGATTTCAAAATTATATTCAAGTTGGAATTTTGAAAATTTTGGTTAATTACCTTGTATTTCCTTTTCTAATTATTGATTGGTTAAAAGACCGTTGCCATGTCTCATGTCTCTTGTGGTGACTCTCCTACTAACTTTTGCCATCTTTTCATACGGTCGATGTAAGTTTTTGATATTGGAATGTCCATTGCATTTTTAAAATCTATATTTTACATAGGTGAGCATGGATGGTTAACAATGATTTTTTTGGGTTTACAGTTACAAATTATTATAATTACTGTCATTGTCTTCATTGGCTCCTCTGTGTGAACGGCGGTTTGATCAATAAATATGGCAAATCTGATTCACACGTCACTGTTATTAATGTTAATGATTTGATAGTTTCAGTTTGAATCTTTCATAAGTGGGCATTCGTATGTTTGTAGAAGTTCTCTGAAAACGTCATATGGTCTAATTTATGTAATGCCTGTAATCTCAGATTAATTGGCGGGCAGATGTAATAAATGTTGTCCATGTGTGTGATTTGTGTATAGTTCATTCCAGCAGCTTGTTTGAATTTTCTTGCAGCTGTGTTCTTTGAGTTCGTGTAGATTGTTTGTGCTCAGGGCAAATTCTTGATTTTACTGTGTGTTACAAATAATTAATCTGATTGAAGAGACCTTAATATGTTGATGAATACACCTTAATAACTTGAACGTCAATTAAATAGGAGTCTCTTCTTGAGTGATATCCTCTCCTTGAACATTGTCTCGATTATGTCTTTATTCGTCTCACGACCATACTCCACAAGGTGAAAGAATAATTCTTATTTTGCAACATATAAAACAACTATATGACGTGGTGAAAACATTGCCCTTAATAGGGTTCTTTTATTTGGGTTAACATCTTCGGATTCATTAAATGAGAGGCGTCTCGGTGGTTTATGATGCACCTTCTCTTTTTCAAGGACTAAGTTGAGTGCTGGTTGAGTAGAATAAGAAATCATGTTCGCGACTTCTAGTCCTTGGAATCTAGATCCCCAGTCCTTGGAATCTTTAGCTTGTTGCCACTGTCCATCCCTTTTACTCCTTTCTATTTTCTCAACCTGTTTCACAGAAAGTTCTTTATTGAGAACTTGGTGCTGTGAAAGGTTCTTCAGATACGTGGTTCTTGGGGAAGTGAAAGTCGATCTTTTATTACGCAGATTGAACAATGAAGTGTGTGGGTTTGTTGTTTTCTTGGTTAATGAAACATTTTTGCTTGCCCCTCGGATATATTCTTGAATGTGACCCATTGGTGTTTAGTCCGATTCTATTTCAAATACAATTTTACCATCAAGTTATGAGGACCATTTGGTTGAAATTGTGCCGGTGAAGATGAGTTTGGAGACTTTGTTGGACCTATGTAGACATCTATACAGGAATACGGGCTGACAAGTATGTGGTACTGTTGAAGTGCTGTGGGCCAATAGATGTGTCTTGCCGCTTATGATTGTGGTGGTGCTTAAACTCCACTTGGGGACTTGTCATCTGAAACAACTTGTCATCTGAAACATAGTAGTTCTTTGTGCATGACTTTGAGGATACAGGATTTGTGCAGTTGTGGCCGTTTAGCCATTGATTAATAGGGATTTCTGTTTAGGTTCTCTGCTTAGCAGTTGCATGTCAATCACAGTAACAGTTTTAGCTTAAAGTCAGTAGAAGAAAAGTGATGATTTTTTTTTTTTTCTCAGAGTTTGTAATTCTATTTGTTGTTCAATGACACTAATCGTTTTAAGCACAAATGTTTTCTCATCCTGAATTTGCTTATTTGCAACTCTCAAACTGCCCAATTATGATCTCTTGTTTGCATACATGTTCTTGTCGGAGTATGGCTGCGGTCTGACATTTTTTTACCCTCCAGGATTCTTAGCAAGCACTGTATGAACATGCTAAAAACAGTATTAACCAAACAACAGTAGTAATGTCTATAAATGAGAATATTTCATCACAAATGGACTAGCCTTACAAATCTAATTGGTAAATTGATGATTAGTAAACACACAAGTTGGGTAAATTCTCTTCAAAGGTTGAAGAGTGGGTGTTGAGGTACTTAATTGACTCGTGTATTCATCGGAAGCTGAACTTCGAAATGGCGGGGAGATCATATAACAAAACCATCTCTTTTGTCTCCAAACGTGGTGCAACCAGCCTGCAAGACCCTTTCAAGACTGACCTATATTTTCTGCATGGTAATTCCCGATTCAGACCTTCGTGTTTACTAATCCCAATTCTCATCTTTTACTACAAGAAAAATTATACACAATATATGTAGATTGTATTAATTCTAGTATATTTTATAAATTATAATGTGAATTATTTTTTTGGGAGGATAGAGATAAGTAATATACAATTCCTCTATGCATATGAGATTCCTGTCACTTCTTCTGGCCGTTCCTTCAAGGTTTCATCATAGATATGTTACTGTAATCCCTCAAACACGCCAATGTTCCTTACCTGAAGACGCAATATGTCACCCATCCATCGGTGTAGTTCGTCCCCATCTTCAGTCAAGAATGACTCGAATATTGGAATTGACGAACTAGATCAATGTGGCCCTGTATTGAACTTAGAATACGAATCCAAGGCCGACGATAAATCATGGGTAAACTTTGGAATCATTCCGGAAACGATCCTTGACTTTGTTCAAGAACTAGCATTTTAACCCCAGCAAGTTGTTCCTTACCAAAATCATGATTTGAATAAAGAGTGACCTCGAATTTCTTGAACCTGGATGTAGATCAGCACGTGAACTACTTTTTCTTCAAACCTTTAATGGGGGCACATCTATATTATGTTAAAACTTGACAAAAAAAAAAATAAATAAAATTTTGACACTCAAAAATATTATGTGATTGTGCCATGTGTTAGTTTAAATGTGTTACATTATGTCCAATTTTATCCAAAAAAAAATAAAAATAATAAAAAACATAAGTTGACAAATGTTCCTGGCAAGTTTTCGTATATTGATTGCATTTGATGATCACCTCATTATTACCTTTGGAAAAATATATTTATTTCCGCATGTATAACAAGAAAATCACCAAAAAATTCTAATAGATGGATTAATTATATATTCAAAGCTAAGTAGAGCAAGATACTAACATCTCTTCAAAGAGCTTAACAAAAAAAAAAGTGAGATAAATCATTATTACATTTAAAATGTTGAAGAGTAAAAAATATATATTGTGATGCATAATATAACTTGAATGCTTGGACTCGGGTGGGAACAAAGAATGTAAAAGAGTAGAACATATGAAAGATTAATAAATCAAATTATATGATTTAGTGGTGGGGCCGTGCAAAACATTGCAGATTGACTCAAAGTAACCCGCTGAATATATAGTGATGGTCACTCCTAGTTTTGTGCCTATTTTACATTTTTACTGGTATGGTCACCCTAGGCGTTTATTTAAGTCCGCCCTTTTCCAGTTCTGGAAATGAATTCGCATCCGCCATTTAGAAGCGTGACTTTTCATTAGCTTAGTAGACTTAAGATTGTCATAATTCTTTATATTTTTGGCTTTTTCTTTAATTGGAATACTTCATTATTTATTTATTTGTAGTATTCAGAGAACAGAAAAGTACCGGGAAAAACCCAAAACTTGGTTAATTAATCAATTGTTTTGAAGCTGTTCTTGTATTCATTTTTCATAATCATTTATGTGCCAATTAATCATTTTTAGCTGATTTAGTGGTGACAAAATATTTGATCATATCGTTGAGTTGTAATGATTCTAGCTAGCCTAAAATTTTATGAAAAGATATTATTTCTTACGTACTAAAATAAGAATCAACGGAAGGGATCGATGAATTGAACATATAATAACGGAAGTTCTTGTGATTTCATCGTTATTAGTATGTGATTTGCCACCTATACTATTTAACTTCAATTGGATTTCTGGAATTGTATACGTTTTTGTCTTGGGACAAGAAAGATCACGCTAAGGCTATAAATATGGCAGTTTCCTACTCAAAATTTGGCAATTTATATATGCCCGTACTCAAATTTGGCTGTTTCTTATTATTAGTAAGATTATAGCAACGAATTAAACATAGTTTCTCTATTACATTTCCTTAACGATGAGAAATTTTGTACTTATTGAGGTGCCCAATTGATTTATATATATACTTGTTTATCTTGTCAGTGGAATTTGCACCATCCGGCCGCAGCATAAGTGACTATGAAGGAGGTAAATATCACTCTATATTATTCTCTCTATTCCAAAATGATTATTAAACTTATAGCAAATATAATTATTTTGAAATAGAGGACGATGTTATTTTCTTTTTCTTTTTTTGGTTAATTTTAGTTGAAGTTAGATATGTCTTTTAGAACTACTGAATATTTTATGTTGGTGCAACTTGGAAATTGCTTTTGTGGCATTACCATAAACCAATTTTTGGCTCCCCAAAATGGCGCTATTGGAAATCTTTATACCATTCGTGTGTAACGTTCATTAGATCTCATAATCTCTATTGATTTATACTATTATTTGTTGGTACAAATTGTAAATCCAATTTCAAATAAAATTTCTATTTCGTGTTGTATGATTGCCTTTTCAGTGATAACCATATATATTCGTTATTTTTGTTGCAACCCAATATGGAGAGGGGAAAAGAAGGTTCTACTTTGACCAAAATTACTATCAAACATATGGAGGTGATCATCTCAAGGTATATGACCAAGGCAAACAAGTTCAACTCCTCATGGACCAAACCACAGGTTGATTTACGTACCATTATTATGTTACCATAACCAAAATGGGTTTAATTTACTTTTTCTTCTTTCTCTTTTCGTTTTTCTTTTCTTTTAACACCCACCTCACCTGATTGATTTCAGGCGCCGGGTTCAGCTCGAAGCAGAGATTTGGTTCGGGTTATTATTTGTACAGGTGGTTTGTGGATGGGATTCCGATCAGAGTGTGGAAAAACAAGAGCCATCTGGGAATCGGGTTTCCAACGGTGCCCATGCACGTAGAAGCCAGCATATGGAATCCAGATTGGTTGGGGAGGGCAGATTGGTCACAAGCGCCATACACGGCGAATTATCTATCGTGGATTTGCGATTCATGGATGCCCGTATAAAGCTTCTATGCCTAACCAATGCCAATCTGAAGCTTATTATTGGAATCGGAAGCAGTTTTGGCAACTCAGTCCCCCTCAGAATAAACAGCTTTGCTGCGTTAGAACTCGTTATATGTTTGAGGATTATTGTAATGATCAAAGCAGGCGAGGTATAAAATGCCAATTTAATCAATAGACGGCCAAGTACAACTTATACCGAGAGAAATAGTAACAATAGCTTTGAGACAAAAAAAAAAAAAGAAAAAAAAAAAAAAGAAAAAAGTAACCTTTGTGCTAGTCTTATAGTCTTCTTGGTTTTGTGGACAAATGATTGTCGTCCAGGACTTACTAATTTACAAGTTTCTAATGTAATGTTAGATCATAGTTGCATTATGATGATGTGGTTGATGTTATTCACTTCCAAACCATTAGTCATCCATCAATTTTTAGTTTAATATGGGTTGTAATGCATTCTTGTTTCCTTTGAGTAAGAATCTCTGGATTTGTAATACTCACTTTGTTCCATCTGCATAATCCAAAATACTTCAATAATGATTTAAGATTACAATTCCTTGATTATTGAAATCCCTAGAATTCAAACTAGGAAAGTATAGTAACAATTTCTGAAGACGGACACCGTATAAATTATATTATTGAAACTTGAGAGGATACATATTATTCTTTATGTCTCAAAAAAAAGTCATGATCGAGTGTTGCAAATTATATTGAAAATAATGCAAATCTCAGAAACTAAAATTCCTATTATTTTTTGGAATACATTAATTATTGATTTAAGTATTTACCTATTTAGGCATTCTGCCTATTAGTATTTTTTTTAAAAAAAAAAAGAAAAATAAGATAAAGATAAAGGTCATGTTTGATAAACCAATTAAACACTTAAACTTATTAATTAAGTACTTAATTAATTAGCACTGTTTGATAACACAATATCATAACAACTTAATTGATTAAGAACTTAATTTATTAAGGACTTAAATTTTAAGTGAATTTGATCACTCAAAGTATGATGTCTTAAAAAATTAAAAGGGTCTAAAATGCTAGTACAAATGTGAGCCTAAAAATAAGTGATAGTCCTCTCACTTATGTCTGAACTAAATTCTTGAGACGATTTTTTTCTATTTATTTATTTTTATGTTTATACTTTTGATATTTTATCTTGAAATAATTTTATTAATCATGAAGTCTAGTTCTAAATTAAAATTTATATAAATTATTTTTTATTTAATAAATATTTATTTTTATATAAAAATTAAAATCCATTAAATTCCATGATCAATATATATTTACCATAAAATATGAATTTTTTTTTGATAATGATAAAATATGACATTCTTATTAACTGAAAAAAATAACAGCATAATAAAATTTAAAGATTTTTATTACATTATTAAATAATAATATTATTTTTTTTTTATCATAGTTTCATATACATCAATTATTTTTTTAGATAAAATTATAAGTCAAGATACTTTAAATTTCACTGTTCAGACTTCAGATTTCAGACTTTTAATTTAGTGTTTTGATTTTTGGTTTTTATCAAACTCGACAAACTTAATCAGTTTAGCACTTATGATTCAGTTTTCAGATTTCAGACTTGAGACCCAAATTAAGTTTTATCAAAGGGGCCCAAAGTTGATTTGTCAGGTATGGATGTTTTTCGACGAGATTCCATCACCGGAGGTGTGGCGGTTATCAAGAAAAGAAAGAGAAAGTGAGGGAGATTAGATTGTAGAAGAGAGAGGGAGAAAACTGAATTTTATTTCATTGATAGCTATTAATTCATCATTTACATTCTCTGCAATTAATAGCTATTAATCATTGACTAATCATTGCTGATCATTGACCAAATCAATGTTTTCAGCCGACTTCCAATTAAGTCCCCAAAGTTTCTCAATATTTCAATTTAATCCCTGTATGTGACATGATTACTACTTACTAGTATCACTCTAACAATAGAAGATACTAGTAGCCACTCCTCGGTAAAACCACCCAGTCACCGACTAGGTTATAAACCACCCACATTTATTACAGCGCCGGAGTGCACCACCGTTTAAATTCCGATTCATCGGCGTTGCCGGAATCGGGAGAATTACGTTCCTTCTGGTGCTCCTAACAACATGCCGCCGAAACGCAAAGGTCGAAGAAGTCATCCTTCGCCCAGGAAAGCTGAGCCTACTTCTGATGAGGCTGTCGATGGTAAGCTTCCTAAAACCCTTATTATCTCACAAATTCTCGCCCGTCTGCCTGTGAAGTCCATTGTTCGATTCAAATGCGTTTGCAAAACATGGCGTACTCTGTTCTCATCCCCACAATTTATCGCCATGCATTTCCGGAAAACCTCGGAGAATCCCGCGAATCACTCTCTCATCATTCATAGTATGGATGAAGAGTTCTACCATAATATGTCTGTACTGAATGTTAATTCTACTGAAAAGGAACCCGTTTGTGTAGTGAATCCTTTCCCTGTGGTTCTCTACCAAATGGACTTAGTGGGCTCTGTTAATGGGATGGTTTGCCTGGCTTGCCCTCCTGCTGGAAATACGATTGTCCTGTGGAACCCTGCTATGAATCTATGGAAAGAGATTCAACTCTCTAAAATGCGGCTCAGTGTGTCCGGAGAACAACCCGGAGAATACTCAATTGGGTTTGGTTATGATGAAGCCACGGATGACTATAAGATAGTCAGAATTGGTCGTTCAGCCATTGGGTGTTGGCCCTAAACAGGTGTTGAGGTCTTGTGCAGAGGTTTACTCTGTGAAAAAGAATTCCTGGAAGAGGGTTAAGCTTAATTTTCAGTTTAAAGTTTCGCAAACTAAGACTGAAGTGATTGCAAAAGGGATACCCTGTTGGACTGGTTTCATCGCAGATGGAAGCAATAAGAACAACTTTACTGAGGTCTTGCTTTGGTTTGATTTGAAAAATGATGTCTTCAAACATGTTTCCATGCCTAAGTTTGCTGGTGATAGTCTGGCTGAAGCAAAATTTGTTGAATGGAAAGGTTCTCTTGCTTCACTTGTGTATTGTCAAAGCAAGGAAAAACATGATTATATTGATGTGTTGGTGTATGATGAAGTGAAGAGGTGCTGGGATTAATAATCCTCTAGTGGACCGATTGGACTAAAAATGCTTAGGCACATTCAATGTACCAAGGATGGGGTGATTTTGGCAGAGACTCCCAAGGGAACCCTGTTTTTGTATGAACCTGTGACTAATGGAATCAAGGAACACAGTGTCTCCGGCGCTCAGAAAGCATCATTTGAAGCATTCAGCTACATTGAGAGCTTGGTTCATATTGAGGGTATGGAACTTGTGAAGGAACAAGATAGAGATAAGTACTGCTTCAAAGATATAAGCATCTTCAACTGCTTCAAAGATGTAACCATCATCGATAGTCAAGGTATCCATTATATTATTGATTTGACAATCCCTGAAACTTCTTAGTTATAACTAAACATTTCCGTGGCCTTTAGATTGTTTGTTTGGGATTTTTCACTTTTTATGACGGTGAAATGTTTTCTGGGAGGCATTTTAGGCAGCTTTACATTTCTGAACTTAATTGAAGACTTTACATTGCTGAACCAAATTGAAGAATATAACTTGCAATTCTTATGCTGGTTTCTGCATCTGTCTTCAAATATGCTACAAGCGAGTGGTATAAAAAACTACCCTACATGGTAACTTTCATATGTTATTGTATAGAACTGGGTTATTTTTCATAGTAGGAATGACTTCTCCAACCATAAGTTCATGGTGGAGGGATTTCAATAAGTGTTTAAGTTTCTTGTCCAGGACAAGCTAAAAGATCATGGCAATTTATTCTCGGAATAATCGTGAATAGATTACCAGGACCAAAATGCCATATGACCATGGAATCTTATCCATAGATTACCAGGACCAAAATGCCATATGACCATAGAATCTTATGGGATGTCTTTATACATTTAGGTTGATGATTATTTTGTAGTTAGGGCTTGATATTGTTCGCCTAGCCCAAGCGAGATTTACAATTTTAAGAGTAATTAGTATTACCTCAATGTTATTGTCTTTCAGGATCGTGCATTTAATTGATGGGACGTGAGCAGATGATTTCCACAATGCTTTTGTTCTGTTTCCAGTACTGGATGTCAAGTGTTGTAGTTAGGCAGAATAGGATCAGCTTTCTTCATTTGATCTCTGAATCTGTGTCCAGACCAGTTTATATTCTGCTTTTTGTATCTGGATTTGTGGCGTAAGCACTGCATTTTGTTTCTGAATCTGTGATGTAATTACTCAAGTTAGACTTTTATCTATGGTAGCACGAGCTCTTTTGCTAGTCAGAATTATGTTTTTCATTTCCCTTTACAGAAATCCATCCAATCAAAAACTTTCAAGTTATACACAAAAAGAACCGAGAAATTTGTGAAGAGATAGTAATGTGAAGTTACAACTACTAAGCAGGTTTATGTAGGATCAGCTACATATAATACGTTCCTGAGCATCAAACACGCAAACTACAATTCATATGCATTCCCACATAAAAAGAAAAAAAAAAAAAGAGTAGAAAACAGACTAAAAGATACAATTACAAAGTGGAATAGTTAATACTAATGCTTAATATCATCTAATCCACCATCCACAACCATATTGACCTTTTGGTACCCAAAATCTCCTGGATTGGTTGAGCCCTTTGCTGGGACTACGTTCACTTGGTTACCACCATTAGCAAGCACCAACCTTAAAAGGACCACAACAAATGCTGCAAAAATGAGCACAAAAACAAACCTCATCAAACCCCATACGATGTTGTCCAATATCTTTATATCCTTGCCTTTCTCACCGGAGAACTCCTGAGGATCCGCCGGCTGAGAATGTAGCCATTTTGGGGAGCTTCTCAAGGGATCTAATGGCTCAGAATGTAGCCATTTTGGGATGCTTCTTAAGCTGAACTTCCAGGAATAAACAATGGTATTCTGCATTGAATTCCCCGGGGAAGAAGAGGAAGAACTCAATCCCACCAACACCTCCTTTCCTTTCCACAGTTGCCCTAAATCAATTTGATAGGCTAGCAATGGATTATAAGGCCTAGGACTACCAAATTCAGACAGTCTAATCTCTAATCTCTTAGAACTCGAATCGTAATCAACCCAAGAATGCACTTTCATCCCACTGCTCAAAACCAAATTAATGGAAGAAACATTGCAAACAGCCACTGAATTGAGACTATCCACATCGACCCCAACGTGATTGGCGTTCTCGTCACCAACATTGACATTCATAAATGTATCATACTCTACCCCAAAGAACTTCTTCTCCCGAGATAGCCCAAAACTGTCTCGAGAGAATCTGGGCAGAAAATCGGCTGGAACAATTACAAGGGCCAGGCCATCACCATTGTGGGACGAGATTGAGAAAACGAAATCAGTTGAAAATGAGATTGGAAACCTGAAGGGTTTGGTTCGAAGGAGCAGTCCGGAGCTCGAAGAAGAAGCTCCTGGGTCCGTGAACTGAACGGATGAGGCTGAGTCGACGGATTGCGCATCACCAATGAGCAAAAGGTCGAGATCGAATTGGGGGGTTCTTGGGAGTGGGATGCAAGAAGTGGGTCTGATTAGGGCTGAGCTTATGAGTAGAACGGAGACAGTAAAAATGAAGATGAAGGAAACTGAAATGCAGCTAGCCATGGACAAGAAGAATGGAGGGGGCTCAGCTCAGATGGGAATTCGGAGCTGAGATTTTCAGGAAGTAGAGCTTTGTTCTGGGAGTGTAATTTTTGGAAACTGAAATTGGTAAAGTGGGAGCTCCCAATTCCCAAACTACGGAAGAAGAAGAAGAAAAGAGTAAAGTTGGTTTTTTTTTTTAAAAAAAAATAATAATAATAATATATTAAAAAAAGGGCCTTTATTTTTAGTGTTACAGTATTTGCATAGGAACTATATGCAAATACTGTAACACTAATTGAATCAACAAAATATTATGGAGTTTCTGGCAGCAAGGCATGTAGCTGAAACTAGATTATTTTTGTTTTTTCTTTTTTTTTTTTGGGACAAAAATGAAGCACTTGTGTTTGTTCTTATTCCGACAAAGAAGAGATATAAAGCCTAAATTAATACTCCATCACGAAAGAGAGCAAGAGTCACAGCTCACAGTATGGCCAAAACTTCACGAACTTTGAAGGCCTGCAGTTCCTGGCGAGTGCTTTTTTTTTTATAAAGTTTTATTCGCAACTAGCAAAGTAACAGGATTGCAACTCAGAAGTCCCACTGATCTCTGGAAATGGAACTAACAGCCCCGGATGGGAGAAAGAACAGCAACTACATGTCCCTTATTCCAGACATGGTAAAACATTTCGGCGTTCTCCATTTATTAGTATTCATTCAAATGGAAACAGGTGAAATGCCAGCTTGGGGAGGGCCAAGAGGACACAAGTCATGAGCAGAAAAGCTTCCATACGCCAAATCAGTGGCGCTTCTTCCCGGTTGCTGCTTCCCAAGATGGCAGGATGTTGTTCACTATCTCCTCTACTCCAACACCATGCTTGACCTGTGCTTGGCAAAATTAAAAACTGTTCAACCGGGAACAATCACATTTACGAGCACCATGCAAATATTCACAAACTTTAGTCCACATGTTTGGGACGTCTTATCCCCAGTCAAACCTGAGCAAAGACAAATGGACCACCATCCCGCATTCGCAATGCATCACGTTCCATGACAGATAAATCAGCTCCAACTGCTTCTGCTAGGTCAGTTTTATTATTCACCTGGAAAAATTGACAAGAAAAGCTTCAACATACTCAGGCTCCTACCATATAGGATTTGTCAAACAGACATAAGGCAGATTCTAAAGACAATGCGGCTGACAAAGCAACATCAAATACATACAAGGAGGTCAGCTTGGGTAATGCCTGGGCCTCCTTTCCGTGGAATTTTATCGCCAGCCGACACATCAATCATGTAGATTATGTAATCAGCCAGTTCTCGACTGAAGTTGGCAGCTAGATTGTCTGCATCCAGGAAAAGAATACAAAGGTCAAGCACAATTCTTAAGTACAGTAATGGTCTACATTAAACTTGTTAATAATGCATCAGAACTACAGGATTCAGTATGCTTCGACAAAGCCTGAAAGAAACAAATGCAACTTCAACGCTCCCTCGTATTTCAGTGTCCTGATTTCCAATTGCTCCAATTTCCAGATCATCCAAAATTTCTAATGGTGAATACATTACATACAATGTCCCTTTTCAATCTAATGGTGATTGGATAGATTTCCATTTCCCACTTCTAACTTGGGATATTGTACTGTCATCAAACATCAAACCAGTCTATAAGTTATAGAAAAACGCCCAAATCAAGTGATATTGAGCGAATGATTCTTGAAACAATGGCAGTAATTCCTCTTGTAACTCTCAAATGATCAGTTTTCTGGTTTAATCTCACCTTCCAAAAGAAGGTCTGCTGATGATTAGGGGTTGGGGTAAAATTGCCCCCAGTTCAATTAAGACCCGACTCTGTTTCTTCTCACTTTTCTCATGCATTCCAGTTGGATGAAAGACTCTTCTTGATCAACCATGGATTTGATGTAAGTTTAATAGTGTACTGTATTTTTGAAATCAATTAACCTCTGATTCTCTGCACATCGAAATATGATTGCAAAATAGAACTACTATTATTAATCTCTGATCATCAATTTGATGCTTGCACTCAATCACTCAAAATCAAAAAGCCTCACAATGTCCTCCCCCTCCATCAAAATCACAGTGGAAAGACAGAGTGCAAGGATCAAAAAATGATATAGTACAGTACAATTTACACAAAGCTGCTCACAAATATTACAGTATGTATGTATCATATCAATATCATGTACTCTGTAACAGTGCTTAATAACTCTTATGTCAACTGAAATAACTTATTTAGTGCAGTGCTTCTGGAAAAATATGCTTTTCCGACGGGACGACGTCCTCGCGCCCGTCGGCCTTATTCTTATTATCCTCCGTTTGGGTCTTTACTTGAACTGACGACAATGGCGAAAGGGCTACATTATTCGGTTCATTCCCGGCTTGCACAACTCCTTGCTTTTGTATATAATCCCATTTGTCCTGAGTGAGGTAAAAGAAAGCCATCAAACCCACCTGAGCTGTGAAAAGTATAGTCCAAAGGGTTGCATTCCTTGATGTTTTGGTGTGGTATGCTTTTAGTCCAGAGTAAGTATTGAAAATTCCAACGAATGATATTGGTGTTCCCAGGATCCAATGGAATATGTACCAAATGCATCTGGCTTTACTTCCCCTTCTTGGCCTCCGAAATGCAGTTAAGACTTGCAAATACATTGCGCTAATCCAACTCTTTGGTGACAATTATTGAAGGCGTTCTCAAAGTTTCTGATAGACAGTTCTGATTTTGAGTATTTCTTTCCAATTTCACGAGGTTTCCCAAATTCATGAGTTGTCTAAGATTCCAGGAATTCAATTCCAAAGATTCTGATTCTGAAGAGGAAGATATATTCAACTCACCAATTAAATCCTCCTCCTTCTCCGATGCCTTTGAAACTAGTAGAAGAAAAGGAAAAAGACCCATTAATTTTACTCAAGATTATAACGAAATCGAAGTGAAAAATCACTCTTGTAAATCACCTAATTCCAATTGTAATCGATGGTCACACAAAAGGAGTTATGTTCTTTTGTCGCCTTTTGCAGCGACAAGAAGCCTAATATGCAGTGGTTCGAGTTGGAGGGATGCCCTCATTCTCGTTGTACAGATTGTATTTGTGAGTATTAAGCCACCACTTTGCGAGATAACATTCATGGCATCAAATGCCCTGTTTTGGGATGCAATGAGGCAACATTAACATCCGAAAACTGCGAAAAAACGTTGCCTCTTGAATTGATTGATAGGTGGAAGGATGCATTGAGGGAGGCAAGGATGTTGAGTTCTTTGACACTGTTTTGCCCTTATGAAGAAGAGTGCAAAACAGCCCTTTTATTGATGATGAAGATGGCGTTGAGGAGATGGAGGAGGAACCTACTGTTGGTGAAGAAGGTTCTTGTTGTAGTTGTTTCTGTACTAATTGCAAGGTTCCTTGACTTTTTAGGCCATGGCTTGGATTGAAAAGGATGTTACTTCATTTGGCTGATTGCAACTGAGGACAACCATCAAGTCTTCCCAAATTAAACCTAAATTGAAAGTAGGTAGAGCCTAGATTATACGGGTACAATTCTCGCTGTACAAACCCGATATATATCATGTTCTATTATAAGTGTACTGATTTCCTCAATGTACCTAATGATTGATTGAATTGTACACAATGTACGTATGAGAGTATTTTCAGTTCAAACGAATTAGTTCATCCTTTCATATATGGGTCATCAATTATCACCATAATCATCTTCACATTTAATTTGATCCATTGTATTGAATCTTCATACATATTGTTCAGCGTGATGTGAAAATGTTAGTAAAAGAAGATATGGGCTCGAGTGATTTATTTACATAATATATATATATATATATATATATATATATATATATATATATACTGCAATACAATGAACAAAATATGATCAAATGACAAGTAATTTAAATATATGAAGAACAAAAAAAATAAGAACTTTCTATTCATGAATTGTAGTTGTAAATTACATTACTTGAGCAGGAAGATCAAGAATTTTATCGAAGAAAGCCTTCACTTCATCGCGCTTTCCAACAAGCTCTTTGATCTTTTTCTCCAAAAGAGGTATAACAACGTTAGAAACTCCTTTAAGATCGTAGTTGATCTCCTTAAACAAAACCCACCTGAACTCATACCTTACTCTCTTATCAACATTCTCATTGTGGTATTCACTAAAATATAACTCCGCCATACACACGAGATTATCCTCCGTCAATTCTTCCGGCTTTTCCTTGATCGCTTCCGTGGCGGATTCATAACGTTTCAACAACACATTATAGTCGCTCAAGCAATCTTCCCTGGCTAAATATCGCAACGTGTCGATTAGACCGCCAGTCCCATCATCCAAGAAAGATTCGAATTGTTGCACTAGGTCAACGTGACCTAATAATAAACTGCAAATCTTAGTATAAACTACACTCGTCGTCGCGTCCAATTTGCCTTTAGAATACGAGTTCAACACATTCATCACGTCGTAATAAATTTTAACGTTATTATTCGCGAATCGATCCTTAACACTGTTAAAGAACTCTCTGGATCTTATTTCCACGTATTCTTCCGTTGGCGGACCGTTGGAAACTTCATCATCATCATCATCTGATGAGGAGCTAATTAGTGTGGAGTCCACTACGTTTTGTTGACTTTGTTGTTGTTGTTGTTGTTGTTGTTGATGATGATTGTGAATTTGAGGCAGGAAGTTCCTTAACCCTAAGAGAAGACCTTGGTGTCCTTCGAATAATTTGTTGAACATGTCAACTACTCCTTCGACGGAAAGAGTTCGATTTTGGAACATCTTTAGTGCCGAACGAAATTGAGTGTATTTGTTGTCCACATGATTGGTTGGTAACAATACTCTTTCTACTTCTTCAAGAAATTCTTGTGCGTATTCTTTCGTCATTGATGAATGGTAATAGTAAAAGAGAAAAAACAAAAGGAAGAATTTTGAAAAGAAAAAAAAAAAGAGACTAAATATATAGCACCAATATCTGGTTATTTATGGAGAATTAATTCAACCTTTTACATCTAGAAATCAGGAAACTACGTATTAATCCTTTTCCAATACTAAAAAGAACTAAAAGTTATTGACCAAAGGTATATATATATATATAAAAGAAAAGGATAAAGGAAAAAACAAAAGTAAATTGATAATAATCTACGAAAAACAAATAGTCCACGTGTGATCCTCCCACAAATAATTTATTATTTATTTCCTCCGCAGCCGAAAAGGCTAAAAAGTAATATAAAAAGCCTAAAACCCTTTGTCCAGGTTCTCTGAAACCCAGGTATTGTCCTAATCGGAATTCCCTCACAGAATCAATCGGCGTGCTTTGCTCCGTAAAAACCCAAATTCCGGCGGCGTCGCCGGTAAGTCTTCTCCTCATTCATCTTCTTTCTTGCCATATATCAAACTTGTGGTGTTGTAATAGTGAAGGATGATGCCTTTATGAATTATTATGATCATCAGCTGGGAGCTGTTTTTTTTCCTTCTTTTTTCGACAATCTCGGTTGATATCTCAATGTTTATTTCTGCTGAAAATTTTGTTCATGTCTTAATTCCAGTAGATAATGTGATTGAACTACAAGTCTAGTACTTATGCTAGTTAAAGTTTCAAGCTTTGTTCCATTAAACGTGCATGATGATCAAATATTGGGGGTGTTCCGAGTTTATTGACATGTTGAGTATTGGGTCCAAATTAGGGAGGAATGCATTATACCTAGGTCAATTTCGCTGATGGGCTTGTTTAATCTTCTATATTAACAGCGAATAACTTATATCTTGATTCCGAAACCTCCCAACAATTTAAGAAAAAGTACTGAATTCCAATGTTATTTGTGCCTGTTTTGATTTGGTGTAAGTTTGCAATGGGGATATCGAGTTCTATGCTATGATCAATACCCCTCTTTTTGTTCTCTCTGTGTCTATCTAATGTGTTTCTCATTCCTTCTTTTCAATGGGTTTTTTAGGCATCTCTCTGCAAACCTTCATCCGATTATTTTTTAGGCTGATTGTGTAATGGTTCCAGTTCTTTGAGATTCTTAATGTGTATCCCAATTTCAGCTTGTGCAGGTGGTGACCTGAATTTCATGTTGGATGATTGCTCTTTGAAACGAAAGTTAGTCTAATCAAGTGGCACAAAACATAAATACAATGGATCTGAAATTCAAGGGCACCGGAAAATGGATTGGTAGCATGTACCACAAGTTTGAGGCTATGTGCCACGAGGTTGATGAGTTTGTGACAAAGGTGAAGTTCTGTTCTTCTCGTTTCTTAGGTGCTAAAATGCCTGCCTTCAGAGCTGTATGTAATTGAACTGCTGATGTGATAGAATGAGACAAAGAAAACTTTCATTTTATTTTCCATCTTCATTGTTATTTAAGCATCCATTGATATTAGGTCAATTCCCACTACAACGACGAGAAAGCGAAAATGATTTTGTCAATATATCGCCCAATCACTTTCATGGGGTTCTTCAGTAGGAAGGGGAAAAAAGAACAAGTGAATTGTTAATTGCATTTCTATTTTGATCCAGTATTTGTTATCAAATTTCCCTGTTCTTACTCCCACATCCTCATTTTTTTCTGCGAGCAAAACATGACCATTTATGCTCCTCATTGACTATGGTCTTTTTGGAATTTTCAATATGGACTAAGAAATTACATTTAACTCGCACATTTGCTAAATTTTTTTGATGTGCTGTGATTATGTATAAATCAAAATATCTCTGAATTTGGAAGTGCTCTTTTTTTTGCAGGACACTAAGGTGCAAACTGTTAAAGAGAGTGTGAGAAATTTTTGTTCGGATGTGTTGCATGATTTTCACCCTCCACCGGTTGATTGTGTACAACCTAAAGAACAAGCAGCAACAGAAAAACAAGATGGTGCAACAGGGAGCTCTATTTGGTCTACAGTGGATGTCGATGGAATGTCTTCCCATTCTAATGAAATCCAGTCACCCGAGGAGGGTACAGTTGATTGTACAAGCTTTAATTCAAGTGCAGTGAACAGTCTGAGGCAAAATTGTCTTTCGCATTGTGCTGGTTTTCCTGAAGATGAGGAAAGCAGCTCACATTGGAAAAAAGATACTGAAACAGCCTTCCCTAAAACTACAGAGACAGTCAAGAAGGATATTCGAGTTGAAAATTACGGGGATGCTAGCTATTTAAGCTATCCTAAAGATAGTATTCCAAGTGAAAATTACGGGGATGCTAGCTATTTAAGCTATCCTAAAGATATTATTCCAAGTGATTTGTTAATAAGCAGCTTGGAGCAACATCAGATAACTACGAATGTTGAATCTTCCGATAATGGAAATATACGTTTACAATCAGAGATTCCTACAAGTCGGGATAAGATAAGCATGGATGGTTCATCCAAAAATACAATTGAGGATTTGGAGCTAAGGATCTCCCAGGAGGAGAAGACAAAATGTAATAAATCAGATCTTTCTGAAAACCCGGAAGCTTGGTTTTCTTCAGATGAAATTGATAATACTCTAGTCTGGAATGACTCAGATTGGGTTGCTGAAGAGCACGTGATGGTAGAACACCCAGATTTTGAAAATGTAAGTTGCTCTGAGGACAAAAATTTATATCAGTTTTTATGGGTAAAGGAACAAACACCAGTGGCCAGTGACCTGTTTTCACCTGTAGATAAAACTACAGCTTGCTCATCTTTGGCTGAGGAGGATCCTACAAGTGCTACTCTTGTAAGGCAGTTGCCAGAAACACTGGTTCCTGATGAAAGGATAAGTTGCACCTCAATGACAGAGAAAATGATGGATGGTTATGCTGATCCGTCTGAGGAATTAAAAACTATCTTATCTTCAGGACATGGTGGTATGGGCATTGAAATAAGTCTCACAAAGGAGCATCAGTTGGTCAGTTCCAAAATGGTCCCCGAGCATCAGTTGGTCAGTTCCAAAATGGTCCCCAAATGTACAAGATCATCTGAGTTTTCAGTACATTTGAGTGAGCAACATCGATCAAATGCAGAAGTAAGTTCAGAGGATGGTGAAAGTTTGCCTAAAATAACTCCCACTTCTACCAATAAGAACTTTGTGGACAAATTTATAGCAGAATCTTCATTAAGTGGTGAGTGTCTTAGGATTTTGGAAGATAAAGAGGGAGGTGATTGTCGAAGATGTTTCTCTGAGGAAGCGGAGACTGACCTGTCCTTAAATAATGACCAGTCATGGGAGCTGTCAGAGTTGAGTCATGAGGATAATGGCTTATTACAGAAACATGCAGTAATGAAATATTCGGGTTGTTTAGAAGATTTAAGTGACTTGTCTGTTCATTCAAGATATCTGCATATGGGGATTGAGGGAACAGATTCTCCGAAAAATGATAGTTCATCAAAATCATCTCTGAGGTCTGAGGCTGAAGAACACATAACTACTGTTGCTCCTAACTTTGTGCCTATGGCCACAGATCAAAGTACACGCCTCAGAGCCTTATATAAGGATGTCTCAACCCCGACTAAATCTTGTAATGTTTTGAGCAGCAATAGTGCACCGTCAGATAATTTTTCCCCAAAAGTTTATTCAGCACATCATGTAGTCGCAGCAGAAGAATCAAGTTCTTATTCATCCACGGAATTCTCACGCACTAGCCACAATGAGAGAGCTGAGAAAATGTGCTATGATTGTACTACTTCCAGTTGTTCTACCTCAGACTTGTCCAGTATGTCACCTTTAATGTTTTCTGCGTTGGTTTCTGATGATAAGATAGAGACCCGGATTCCTTCGTCTTCAATGGCTGCCTCATCAGCAGGTACGTAGTTTCAAGACTTTTCTTGCTTGAAAACTCTGGGAATTGTCCTTTCAGTAATTAAAATACTATCTAAATGGAGCTGCTGACCTTTTTCTAAGTGCATTTTTTAAAAGTTTTCTTCAATAAAATGTTACTTTGTTTAGTAACAAGTTAAGTGAATTTCATTCTAGATCATGTAATAAATTGCTTTAGTGTATTGTCATACATATATGACACGCTTATTAGCAAATAGATATTTGATTGCTGAATTATCTTTACAGATATTGAAGATGACTTGTCTGGTGATACAGTGGACACTAATCTGGTCACAATCGATCTTTCCGATAAAGAAAAACTTGATGGAAGCCATTCGGCTGTCGATGATGAATTGTTTTCTATTCCCTCATTTAGACCAAGGAAGTATAGATCATACAAGGTAATGGCTTGCATAGATATGGTTCTTGCTTAAATTGTCTCATGCATCGTGGTTTTTGATTCTGGATGTTAGGTTTCAAGTCATGGAAATAGCCTCATTTAATTTAGCCCTATACCAGCTTTGCCATTTTCTGCACCCTGCACATTCTGGAGCTTCTATGCACCTTTGTTCTCTTATCCTAGTTCTTGGGGTAATTTAAGTCAAAAATTGCATCTCCATTCTAAATTTCTATGAAGTGTTCGTCGAGTGAGACTCATTCTGAAGATATTTGTGTGATTCTTCACTTGTCTTCTTTTCCTCTTCTTCCGTTTTGTTTCTTAAGCTACAGTGTGTGACTGTTGGCTTCAGTAGTTTTTATTTCATTTTGGGTTGATGATCCATGATAGAAGTACTTGTTTGCCACAGGCTTCCACGGTATTTGCTAAGAAATCAATTTCTTTAGATAGTTTATCCATGAAATGAGATCCCAGTCCTCTTTCGACATCAGTTTCGTTGGAAAGGAGTCTAAATATCAAATTTATAATTATTTTTTTGTGAGGTTAACAATTTATCATAATTTTATTATACTGAAGAAGAAGAATCAAACAATTTTTTCTCATCTTCTGTTTTTCCCCTTGCTGCAGGAATTGATAAAAGAGGCTTTTGCTTCAAGAAATAGACTAGTGAAGGAGTATAAGCAGTTGCCAATTTGGTACGGAGACTTTGATAATGCTAACACTGGGCTTCCAGAGAAGCATCTTTTACCCCCTCCAGCATCACCATCTGCATCAGAGTCAACTTTAGCATCGCCACATTCACATAATATTGGTGAATCGGACTGGGAGCTTCTATAAACTGCTGTTCTATTTGTTAGTAAAGACTTTAGTTAACCTTTCTAGTCACCAGAAATCTATCGTCTTTGACCCATATGGTCAATCACATAGTTATTGAAATGATTGTGAATAGTAGTACAACTAAAACTCTTTCAACTCTTCATTGTGGATGATATTTGTTTTTGAAATTGGATGACATTTCAAGGGAAATCATTTCATACTGCAATATGTTCTAACTTGTTTCCTTGATCTCAAAACTTCTACTGTACATGATAAACACGTTTGTGTTCCTCAAAAAAGTACCATTCTGTGTGCGATTTCAACTGAGAATGAAACTAGAATGTCACGCCAATGTTGGCGTATTGCGATAATCTTGCAGTAAAAGAGCATACAGAATCTCATTCCATGCATCTGGGACGCCTGGTAAGCACCAGTGGATGCAATCTGCAAATGTTTTGGGATCAGCCCTCTGTTCTTTGGTCAAGAGCTTACCTCTCCGCTCGCCAAAAACCGAAGTATGACCGTCTTTCCTGTACTCTGATAACTGAGTAATGTTCAACAATCTAACATTCACTTTCAAATTCCCTAATGCATCTTTAACTATTTCCATTACATCAAGATTTGATCCAGTTCCCCAGTATGGCCCTTCAACTGGATACGACTCGTTGAAACAGTTTCCATCGCCTCCTCCTTCAGCCGTCCATTCCCAGTTCCTACCAAAACAAATAGACAATTATCATCGAATTGCCATGGATTCCTGTCAAACAACAGTAACTTTAAATCGTAGGCAAGGCTCACCACAAATGTGTTGGTGACATTGTTGCGAAAAAGACCTTTTGCTTGAGGGGGTTGATCCGGGTTTCTATCCAGTTTGCCCAGGTTTCCATTGCCAGTTTGTATGCAGTGGTTACATTGTATTCTCTTACATTATCAGGAGATCCAAACCTAATGAAAGTGGCCAGAGGATTCAATGAAATAATCATATTTGTGGAGGCGAATCAAGTTTAATAGAACTGACTTACGTCGCGTTGATTTGAGGCTTGTGCATCCACCATACATAGCTCTCAAACACCAAAATATCAGCTCCTTCCCATTCCTTGCTGTGCTTAGCTACCGAATCAAGTTTGACCATACGTTTTAGTACAGTGTGATTTGTTGCATGATCTGAAATGGATTCAACAAGGAAAGGTGCCCAGTAGTACTCGATCGATGCATTAAACTCCTGAAATCGGATAGAACTAGATATGAATGGAGTTCCATTTTGGCCTAAAGTATCAATGCTGAGAAAGGCAGCAAACGTTTGCATATTTCAACAGGATTTATATCCAAAATTCTGAGTTAAAAAGCATAAGAGCAAGAATATAAATCTTACCTGAATAAGGAATACTTTTCTTGGAGGGATTCTTTCAAGAGACTTCTTTCCATCAGAAAGAGCAGACTGAACTAAACAGACCATTGACTCAAACATTCCTCTCTGTATTGAGTCTCCTACAAACATTAGCCTTTTGTTTCTCAGAATCTCCAGCAACTTCAAAGCATCAAACCTGTAAATCAATTCCATCATTTCAAATGGTTCGAACCCAAAAACTGCTAATGATCAAGACTCAATGCCAAACAGATCAAAATCCTGATCAATATTTTTACCTGGGTAGTTTGCATTCATTAGGCTGCCACCTCCAGTTTTGATAGAATGAATCAGGCCTGCCATTCTTTAAACAGGTCACTTGTTTTACTAAGTAAGGACAACTCTCTTCTCTATACAACGGATAACTTGAATTATCCCATACCCATTTTCCCTCAAACACATTGCATCCATCTGGAATGATCTCATCTTCAGAAACAACAATGGGAAGGATTCTCGGCCGCATTCTGTTTCCTGAAACATTATTGAATTGCCAGAGAAAATGTAACTCATTGTTCTTTAGGCTATCGAGCGCAACGCGTACAGCTCCAAGAACAAGGAGAGATGCCAATGCAACTGGAAAAATGATATGGATACGCCGGTATTGAATGGTTTGAGTCATCATCATTGGCAGCCTGATTTGTATGGACTAGAAGATTGATGATAATTTGTGGATTGTTCCATTGTTCAATGAAAACTGTGGCAAAGTACTCTTTTGATGAAAGCATTTTCTTGTGGGCAACTAATCTGCAACCAACAACAGGTTGGTGTGCTTAATGTTAGGTGCAATATACAAAAAATTGTATTAAAGCTGATGAGCTTGCTTTATCAAGATACTTTAAATGCAAGCTTCATCATCAGCTAACAGATTTACTCTTTCAAGTTTGAACAAATGCAATACAAAATTGGCTCTGCATTTAGATCTTTTTGTTGACGGTGCCGTCTATTATATAAGAATTTATCACTCTCTCAAGTCATATCATTTTACGCGATAAAGTTCATACATAAAATAATTTATTGTAAATACATATTAACACAAAACCACTTTCCTCCTTAAGCATGCAAGATCAATGTCAAATCAACGAAATATTTTTTATATAATTTCTTTTAAAAAAAAAACTACATGTAACTTTATAGAATTTATTACTATTGTAGAATTAGTTTATGAAGAACTAGATGTTAAACCCGCACGACGTGCGAGGTTTATACATATACATCTATTAAAATATATTTTTAAATTTTAAATGTGATTTATACAAATAAAGTAACTGATTTGTAATAGAAAATATATGATTAAAATTAAATTAGATCGTGATAAATAAAATTGTTATATATACTTTGAAATGACAACATTTTATAAATTGTTTGCTAAAAATGTAATTTAATAACGGAATATGTATAAGGATTATATACAAATAAAAGTAAAAAAGACCACCAAAATAATAAATCAGATGTTACATGTCATATAAATCAAAGTAATCTATATCTACACGGTTAAAAACGCATGTTAATCAAGATTGCAAACAATTGGAGAAAGAGACACCTTACATGTTAAATAAAACATGATCGAAGTGAGGTCGTCGCCGCAAAGATGTTTTGTAAAGTATATAAGATGCTTCGCTTCAGTGTTTCACCGGTTGTCATTGTACATGTTAGAGTTAGACCGAAGTGAATATTTATAGTGAATGTCTGAATGAGATATCATAACCAGTAACTAAAGTAAAATTCATAACTATGGAATAAAGATGATAACGTCACGTTGATTAAGGGATAAGATTGGTGAAGAAATGACTTCCATTGCATTAATGTTGATTAGTCTTTTTCAATTAAATTTGATTAGTTTTTAATCACTAAAGAATTTCCACTTTCCCGCACGTTGAACTTAGGTTTTAAACCAATCAAGTAGTGATTTTAGGGATTATTTTGTAGATGGATTTTTTTTTTTTATTCGAATTGGCTGGGGTAAAAAATCCCGGTGAATTAATGTTGAAAATAACAAATGCCTTATCCCTTTGAACTTACAATTTAAATCAATCAATTAATACTAATTGGGGATTATTTTTGGGAGGGATTATTTTTGGGAGGGAATAATTCTGGTGCATTAATATTCATTAATCTCGTCTATTAAATTAAATTAATTTTTATTTTCCTATTTTAAACTATATTTTTAAATGCCATTTGATAAAACTTTATTTACATAAAATTTGAAGGACTATTAGTATAATTGTTGTATATATTTTTTGACTCAACCATTAGAAAAATGACACATAGGATTTTATCCTATGTGCCACCTTTAGAATTATTTTTTGTTTTCTCTCTCTGGTTTCTCTCTTAGTATAACTAGTGATGTCTGGTCGCGCAATGCGCGACCCTGGCCTAATATATCTATAGATCTTAGAAATGTTTGTATCTGAAAAAAAAAATATTTTGTATTTGACCCGATATATTTTAGAAATATTTAAAGAATTTTAGAAATATTTTATAAGTGTGATGTTTGTATTTGGCATAAAAATAAATTGTATTTGGCCCGGTACGTTTTAGAAATATTTGAAGATTTTAGAAATGTTTTATAAGTGTTACTTCTTAAATATAAATAAACTTGATCAAATATATGTCTTGAAGTAAATGCTAGAAAAAATATAAAAGTATCCTAATAAGTTTAAATATTAGTAAGATAACTTATTGATGTTCTCCATTGGTTGTGCCAAATCAATACTTAGTTTTGGAGATTTATAATAGCTTTATAGTTAGCTTCCTCCAAAGGGTATACGCTTAATTGTTGGAACTATTTCTTCCAAAAGTTTATAGGTAGTAAAATATCAAAAATATGATTTTGATACTGGTTAGTTGTTGAAACTGGTTGATCACAAATATAAGAATGAAAATAATGTAAATTTGCATAGGTTTCAAGATATAGTAAAAAAGAACTCGTCTCACCATGGCAAATAAAAAAAAAAGAGTAAAAGATAACCCATTAAAATTTGAGAATTTTTTTTTTCTGTAGGTAAAAATGATGTATAAAAACACAAATAAACGTAGAAACATCATTCCTTCCCTCTCCACCTCAAATTCATAAAAGGCTTCCCCATAAATTAGTTAAAAGAAGCGACCTGAACTATTTATATGATGAGAAACTAAAAAAAGTCCAAAAACCAAATCCAAAAAAGTATATTCTTGAAACCCCGAACACAAAAAAAAAAAGCGTGCTTCATTTACAAATAAAATAATAATAATAATAATAATAATAATTGGTCAACTGGGAGTATGAAACAAAATCAAAAGCAATTAAACAAAGAAAAAACACACTTCATAACTGGCCATATACGAAAAAAAACCTGAGACTCCATAATTAAAAAAAGAAAACTACTCTAATTGAATGAAACATAAATAACAAATTTAAAAAACCACACTTTGTAACAAAAACCTAATCAATCAATTCAATCCAAACATAACTAAAATCATACAAAAATTCTAGACTAACTAACCAAATAAGAAATCACATCATACTACCTGACAACGGCTCCGGTAGCTGTAACGGATGGACGCATAAAAATAATAGTAATAACACTATTCTTGAACGGAAAAAATAAAAAATAATAAAAGCCAAACCAATTATCCGTGGAAATAAAATCATTTAAATTTTAATACCTGTAATGGCACCACCACAACGGCTGAAGCATGATCAATGAGAATTTTCTTTTTCCTTTGTGTTTATATAGAGAGGTAAAGAGAATATTTTTTGAAGTTAAAATTTTATCCAATTAGGATGTAGTTGATCATCACTAATGAAAAGATTGAACATGCTAATAGGAAAGGAGTATATTTCACCACATATTCTCAATTGATGATTGATGAGAAATTTATTTATTTTTAATTGTGGAGAAGGGATTGATTAAAGAGTCGATTGTCGTGGCGATAGGGATGAGGATTTGGGTTTTTTATGAACCCGTGTTTTTTTTTTTTTTGTTTTGACGAAAATAAGAGATGAAAATAAATTTGGACTGCATTTGCCTTTTAAATTTAGGAGATGTGGAAATAAAAATTTATTTTAAAAATATGATGTGGAAATACTACATGACAAATGGTGATGTTTTCTCTTAAGTGTGGTTTTTGTTTCTAATATAGTAAGATATATATATATATACTATAGATGAAAAATGCTGTGTGTATATAAATTTTTTAAATTTAAAAAAGGAATAAAAACAAACACTTAACCGGAAATATCTTGGAGGACAAAAATCTCTATACTCCTCCCGCGAACTAGTTCTCTGTTATCTTTAATTTCTTAGTTCATTCAAAGGAAAAATACTAAAGAATGATTGGCGGCGCCGGAGCCGGAGCCCGGCTGACTTGCCTCTGCGTCTCTTACACAGCGGAGACGCATCTCCTCCGTTCAGGCTTACTATCCTTCCACTTACACCGTCGTCTCCGCCGCAGTCGGCTCTTCACCACCACCACCACCACCTGCTCCGCCTCAGATAAGAAGCAGAAAGTCATTGTTATCTCCGGCCCTACCGGCGCCGGCAAAAGTAAACTCGCTTTGGAGCTCGCCAAACGGCTGAACGGGGAAATCATTAGTGCCGACTCTGTTCAGGTCTCAAGAAGTTCTTTACATTCACAACTTCCATTTCTTTGTTTACGGAATAAGGATAAAATCTAACTTGGATTATAAGCTCAATTTCGAGCTGCCATAGTTGCTACCATTAAGCACAAATTAGTCTGCTACGATAATTTATCCTTTGTCTGTGTGTTGCATAGGTGTATCAAGGGCTTGACGTGGGATCAGCAAAGCCTACACCAAGTGAAAGGAAGGTATAATAAATTCCCAATGTTTGCTTTGAAAGAATTATTACTTCTGTATTTTTCAACTTTTTGTTGCTTTGGTGCCGTTGAATCCCCCCGTCTTTCTTGTTTTTGTACTTATTGGCATTTTCATAATTTTGGTTATATGATATTTGTTTTAGTAAGCTTCTTTTATGCTTTTATTTCAGGAAGTTCGACACCATTTGATTGACATATTACATCCTTCTGAAGGTAATGCTTGGTAGAAGATTTCTATGTATAAAAAGTTTGAAGATTTTTGTAAGGAACAGTATGATATTTAATGCAAATGCAATCTTGTTAATGAACATCCTATGTGCAATTTTTTTAAATGCAGTTTAGAATATGATAAGGAGGCTAAACCTGTTCTGGTGTCCTTAGTGAGTTGTGCTCAATAATATATCTGTTCTGATATTCTGTTTCTGTTTTGCAATTAGATTATTCGGTTGGGCAATTTTTCTTGGATGCTAGGCAAGCAACTAAAGACGTCCTTAATTCTGGACGTACTCCAATAGTTGTCGGTGGTACTGGACTATATTTACGGTGGTATGTTTATTTATCATGAAACGCTTCACCTGTTTCTTTACTTTATTAATGACATAAAAAGGACTAGAATAAAACATTGTACTTGTTTGGGGACTTGGGAGAGTATCGTTTCATCAAGATAGTTGAGTGACTGGTTGGAATATGGAGATTGTACGACTATGAGCCAACAGAACTTCTTAGTTTCCAATTTTTATCACAACACATTAGGCTAAAATATTTGAGTCTATTTGAAGGTTTACTTGAGCAAATACATGTTACATCGACTAATCAAACTAAGGAATTTTATGTCTGTTTCTTGAACTAACAACCTACAATACATTGTCATTCAATGTAGGTTCAACTGGATTTCCGGCTAAAGTTTAGGTGCTTTGCTATTTATTTCTGTAAAATGTTAATAATTTTTTACTTTCAAGGTTCATATATGGGAAGCCAGATGTTCCTAAAGCATCTCTTGAGATTGCATCTGAAGTGTATTCAGAGCTTGCAAGTCTTGAAACAATTGGGGACTGGGATGGTGCTGTCCAGTTGGTTGTAAAAGCAGGTGATCCAAGTGCTCAGTCTCTTGCAAGAAATGATTGGTATCGATTACGACGCAGGCTTGAGATCATCAAGGTTTGTCTTTAGCTTGTTTGAATGTCTCTGGTCTACAAATAATAATTCTCACCTTTCCCTCCATCCTCAAGCTCGAACGACCTAGCATTTATACCAGGACTTTATGGCCAAAATTATCATATTGCTTCATCTGTTTAATTATTTCAACTAATAGCTTTTATATGTGATTAAATCTTTGCAGTCTAGTGGTTCACCTACATCAGCTTTTCAAGTTCCATATGATTCATTTCGGGAGCCATCTGATTTTCATGGTGAAAACTCTGTGGACATCAGCTCCTCTATTGATGGATTTCAGGAAAATAAGTCGAAGAATTTGGACTACGAGTTCCTTTGCTTTTTCCTTTCCACCCAACGGTTGGATCTGTATCGATCAATTGATTTCCGCTGTGAAGACATGCTTTCAGGTATGCTCCGATTTTCTACTTCAGTGGCTCAAAATCAACATTGTCATTTGCTCTGCATTCCTTGTTGAGCTGGCATTTTCTCTTTCGTGTCACTGGAATGTTACAAGTCTTGGCGGCTATATGTTTGAATGGTGTTGCACCCTTTAAATAACATGTTAAGTTTCTGCCTTTTCATTACTTGTTTCTGCTTGAAGATGTGTTTTCCTCCCTTTCCTAGATTTGATACTTCGAGGTTTCTCGATGGAATTAGTTATTCCTATATGACACCGTGTTGTTTTCAATCAGCGGTGCACTGGTTTGACAACCATTAACTCTCTGGACTCATGAGATTTACTGTCGCTTTTTTCTCTCTCTCTCTCTCTCTTTTTTTTTCGTGATGAGTAAGTGAAATTATCTGTTCTTCACAAGGCATTTATTGCAGGGGATGATGGGATTTTGTCTGAAGCAAGTTGGCTTCTTGATTTGGGTCTTCTTCCAAACTCGAATTCTGCTACTCGTGCCATTGGTTATCGACAAGTATGTCCCCTTTTGAGATCATCAGGATACACCTTGAACATTCCAAGAATAAATTAAAAAGAACAAAAGAATACCTTAAACACTGTTGGAACGGGCAGCCTAATATGTGTTTTAGAGCATCAAGTTTGATTTATCACCTTTATTTGTCTCTTTTAGGCAATGGAATATCTTTTGAAGTGCAGAGAACAAGGTGGTCAAAGTTCTGCTCGAGATTTTATCGCATTTTTGTCTGAATTTCAGAAAGCATCTAGGTACTTTGCTTAGTTTTTTATATTTATGTTTATCGGTTTGTAACAGTTTTACATTTAGCCGATAATTTTTTCAGTATTGTTTTCTACATCGAATTCATGTGTATTTATTAGATGAATCGACAAGAAATGCAAGGATGCTGTTGAACTAGTTCAGCAATAACTTCTTAGAAGCTTGTAGTACTAGGGCACTCAGCATCTGCTATCTTCCTTCAGTTGCGGCAAAACATATAGTGAAACCTTTGTCTTATGTCCCACAGACAACTATTTTCTACAACACTATTTCTGTTTGACTTTTATAAAGGTTCACTTTTCCAAGATGTGGATGTAATAATAAAGGCGTTTTTCTTCTTCTCTCACTGCAGAAACTTTGCAAAAAGGCAGCTAACATGGTTCCGAAATGAACAAATTTATCACTGGATTGATGCTTCTAAACCATTGGTATGCCATTCGAGTTTGGTGGCTATTATCTCGTCAGACTCGCTTTTTTTATTTCTTCATAAAATTATAAACTGTGTTGCCCAGGGTTGTTATTCAGTGCACTGATCAACAATTTTTGACATCTGGCCACTGCCAACAGTAATTTGTCTTAAGCTGTGGATAGTAGCTTTCTTCATCTTACTTAATGAGAAATCTTATTGCAGATCTGTGATCGCATAACCATTCATTTGCAACTCTATTTACATAAACATTGTCTACCTGAGTAGGTTCTTAAGTTCAAAGGAGATGAACTAGTTCGAATCAAGTCAAAAGTTTTTTGTGTTGGGTCATTGCTACCAGCAATCAGATGTCTGATTACTTAAGCATTCATGTGCTGCTATGTTTACATTAATAATTTCTGCAGGAGAAAGTACTGAAGTTCATAGAAGATTCATATCATGATGAAACGGGAACCATAACGTTGCCGAAATCACTTGAAATGAAGAAAGACATATCAAACCGGAAGGAAACCTCAGATTTAAAGGCCTACCGCCCAAGAAACAGGTTTGCAGTACATGTGTTTATTTCCTCGCTTCTGCTTATTCTTGTCAACCGTTCTATGATTAATATTTTATAGTGATGTCCAGGCTATTTGTTGAGCGTGAAGACATTTCTGGTGTACTGGAATGGATAAGGAAGAATCATAAGCAACCAAGTTTGTCTGTGTGCTAACTGGCACACAGAAGAGGCGTAACTCTGATATTTTTCTGTCAAATCATTCATTCAAGTTAAAGTTATCGGCAGGTTACCAAGAGGGAGACACAAGGTTCGTTTGCTGTTCCTTATTTTAACATTGGTCCATGCAGATGAACAGTTGGGTTGCTGCTGACGATTTTTTTTTCGTCTTCTTAACTTTTAGTCAAGAACGTGTAAATTTGTACCTGAAGACTTCTCATCAACGACTTGTGAGCTGAGGCCCAAGAATTTTCAAAGAACTGACCAGGAGGACAATATATAACAACAAGCAAAGCTTATCCGGCAGATGGGTTTCTGCCAATTTGGGAGGCTGCAGCTGGAGCTGATATCTGTTTGTATTTTTCGTCTTAGGTAGTGTATATTTCTGTAAGGCTGTTGAAATGTAAATGGTACCTCATTCTTAGTTGCAGGCTGCCCCATCCCCACATCTCCTGCCTCCACAGAAACCAATTTTTCACAAGAGTTGTTACTTATTTCTTACATTTGGAGCATCCTTAAGATATGAGAATCAAAGAGCTGCAACATGCCTACGTTATGTAAGCTTCACTTCAATTCACTGTTACACCAGATACTGTTTTACTCCGTATATCTTTTGGAAACTACAATTACTGATTACCAAATGACTTGAAAATATGTGATCTTAATGGGAGGGGAAAAAGAAAAAAGAAAGAAGAAATATTATTGTGCGTAATATGATGATGACGACCAAAACCTTTACACAAAATAAATAAAGAAAGAAAAGCGGCGGAAATTATTAAGCCCCGATTCCCGAATTTCCCACATTTTTCGTGTAAAAAAGCATGATGTCCTCCCCCTACCCTCTTTTCCACTTGCTCCCATTTCCCAACCTTTAAAAAAAGAAAAAGAAGAAAGATAAAGATCGGATTTTTCTGAAGATATTCCTGTCTGTACATCGAAGCTTCAATTGAGACTGCAATCAGGAAGGCGTTCCTTCTTCGATATTATGCGGCGTTTTCGATGTGGGTTTCTCATCGGAGTCGGCTCTGGTGGCTCGGAAGGATCATCGGCACTTGGCTTTGATCATGAAGCTTCTCTTTATATACAAGCTTTTGCCTTTACGGCAACGCCGGAACCCCCAGTGTGGTCGACGTTAGCTTCTTCCCAAATCTGAGGTACGTTGATTCGGTGTCTCTCCCTGATTTATACTATGCATAAAAGTTTTTCTCCTTTGTATCAAAATGTTTGTGATACTGTTCTGTATTCATTTGGTTGATGAGTTTTGATCTATGTTGATCCACATGCGAATTAATGTTTGTTTTTCGTCTTCATATTCTTTGCACGATTGGGTTGAAGCAAATTGAATTGGTGGAGTTATTAACGATGTTTTGTTCTACTAGAATTTGATTGTTTGTTTACTTTCGGCTGAATGATTCTGTGTCTTTGAAGGTTGCTGGAATTTGGTACCATAATAACAATTAAGACATTGTTGGCCTTGTGCTGATTCATTCCAGCTGGTATACCACGAAGCCTGGCATGACTCTTGAGGATCTCTTTGATGGAGCCGTAGAATCTATCTGTACAGCAGTCTCAAACTACTGCCCCCATGAATATATATCTTCAATCGTGAGTCTCCTATTTTAGCTATCTTTATTTCCGTGGTTTCTAGTGGTTGTTCTTGTGACTTTCATTGGATTTGTAAGAATTAAGCACTTGTTGTGTATAGAAAGAAAGGAGATAATTGATGATTGACTTGGTAAAACAGAAACAGTCCGATAGTCATCTAATCCATCCTATGTTTTAAACCTTTGCAGCTGCAACAGCATTTGCTTTCATCTTGCCTTGCAGGAGTTCATCTTCCAACTCAGTTGCTAATGCTGATAAAAAGATTTGGCAGCCTTCCCAATTGCCGTAAGCTTCTGTTAATGATTTTGCCTCTTTCCTCTTGCTTTTAAGAATTTAATGTGCTTTTCTTTCTTTTCCCATTCCTTTATGAATGGTGCAACTCTGGATGACAGACTCCCTTCTAACTTTTCCCCTCTTGTTCTGTTAGTCTTATTTTCCATAATCCTTGTGTTACAAGATTACACTAACAAGAATGCTCCTTTGACACTTAGCAAGGTCCGTGGTCAAAATTTATTCGGGCCCTGAAAGTTCTAATGTTATTCTGGAAGAGGATGTATTAGTGGTGTGTAAATGTGGCCATTTTGTAGTCTAGTAATATTCTGGGTCTAGGTATTTTCTATGTGCTTCACAGTTGCATCCTTGTTCAAAGACAATGTAAGTTTCATGTGCTCCGGGGATATACTTCCTCCTGCTTGAAGGGACCTAATGTTGTTCCAGACATTAAGAGTGTTTCATTTATGTAGCCATCCTGTATATTGCTTTCTTTGCACCAAACTCCTGTATCTAGGTGTTGATTTTATTTTTACTAGTACTTCTGATCCTGACGAAAGTGTTCATTTCAGCCGCTTTTATTTTGTTACGGAGTCCTAATGTTGCTTCAGTTAGAAATAAAAACTGATTGTTAGGTTTCTCTACTTTTCAGGTGGAACTTCGAATGAATGGAATTGTTAAAGAAAGTGAGCCCTTCACGTTTTCCATCTGCGGGAGGCGGACGTTTGAGACGTTAGGATTTGCTGACCAGAACTGAAACGAATTTCCCATACACTTTGCCTTCCAGTTTCGCTATTATTTTTCTCCAGTCATCCTGTTTTTGTTGCATCTGTTGTTATTTGCAGGGAAGGGTTCTATCCCATTCAATTCTGTTTTTAAGGAAAAACTTTTCCAGCATTCAAAAAGTAGCCCAAGACCGTAAAAGAACTGACTCCATACATAACTGGGAAGGAACTGACAAAATAAATGCCTTAAAAACTTACTGCTGTTTCAATAAGATCACTACTAGTAGCACACGGAAATCTTTCAGCCAAAAAAAAAGAAAAAGAAGATGAGCATCTTTTTGTTGAGATCTGTACAGAAAATTCTATTTTGTTTTCCCTTTTTCCACTTTTAACACTGATAGTATGATACAGTAGGCAATACTGCGTTGCAAGCAATGAAGTCTAGAAACTACAGATAAAATAACCTGGGCCTAGACCTAAAACCCTAAACTAGCTATATCACTACTGGCTCTACAAATCAAATCCCCCTTGGCACACGTATGGCACCATATTTTTTTGGGTTTCCCAGATACCATAATCAAACATTAGACTTTCCACAAAAACGGCACCCATTTTTGCAGCCAAAGATATCTTCCAGATCATTGGATACCATAACAAAAATCAGGCTCCATTGGCCCCCCAAAGAGTGGAAACACCGGCAGACTTTCTGCAACACAAGCCACACGGAGACTTACAGTTAACAACATGAAAATCCGTATAAAGCAGCCTCAAAACGGCAGTTCCAAACTGGTATTCATTAAACAAATTGAAAAGAGACCCAACTACAGGAAAACAAGTTCCTAGTGATAATAAACCTATTATACCTATCATTCATTCATTCTAATCCAGAAACTTCCAACAGAATATTAATGTATAAATTTGGCTTACAACACAAAATGGCACCACTCGGCACTAAATGGTTCCAGATATTGGCAAGTTCAAACACAAGCAAGTACCGAGTTTTAGTTGTCACAAGCAAAAGTGAATTGCATTGTTTCTCCTAGAAATATAAGACACCCAGCCTATCACATATTATCACGATCCTACAGACCCTTGCTATCAGGAAATCCTCTCAACCCATGCTTTTCATGTAAGATTTGGCATAATAGGTAAAGTTGGGAAATAATATTTCCCCAAGGTTCAGAAAACATAGTCCATAATTGACTACTGAGATAAGCGCCAATGGGAAATCTAATAAGTAAAATTTACATCATCGAAAACACAAAAAATATAGGACTCCAGCAAAACAAAGTCTTCAGTTTTATTGGACTGTCCCCATAATATTTTTTTCCCCCAAAAAAATCTCCCTTATTGCTGAAAACAGGAAGCAAAAGGATGTTAATATCATGAGGATCAAGCAAAGCAACAGTTGCATCCATGCCTGAAGTACCGGTTCACAACGTGCAGCATAAAATGGCATATTTACATGCAACGCACTCATGGTAAAGGACTACCCATATTCAATGCAAACGTAACATTCAAATTCAACAATTATTGATACTCAACCCAGAAAGAAAAGATAAAGGTTAGAATGGTTTCACTACGGTCAAGCAAGATAAGACAAGAAAAACTATGAAAATTCAAATCATTTTGCGTAGAATCCCACAATTTTGAAATACAATGTTCTAGAAGAATGCCAACTTCCATAAGGTATTTTGCTAAGTTATTAGCATCCCTTATCCAAAAACGGACTTAAGTTTATTTACAATCATTGTTTGCAGCATCCCTCCATCCAAACTCTTCTGTTCACTTCAACTTCTGCCCACAGCATAATGTTAAATTTTTCAGTAGCTTTAAATGCCAAGATCCAGGATTTCGATTGACAACATAAGCTTGTTGATGAAACTTTAGTAAAAGCATAAAAGCCTTCACAGATTCAAACTATGTAAAGCAAAAATAATTAGGAAAATAAAATTATCATGACCTTCTGGCTCAAAAATCCTCCATCAAGGATGCGTACGACAAAAAGCAGAAGCCAATCTCAAGATAATAAATGGTAAAGAGGAGGTATTGTCTAGCTAACAGAAGCTACAAAACCAAAGCAAACAGAACTAATTGAAAAAAGATTGCCAGACAACTCTAGATTCTAGCAAATCCAGCACAGCCTTCATTCATGGTGCAGGAACCTCAAAACTAAAATTCAGATGCACGAGAATACAGCCTGGTGCACAACAAGCAACATGATCACATTCACAAACATATTCTCCCAAACATGCCAGGTTATCTACATTTGACAAGTTTAATTTCTTTTCATTTCTATCTAGCTTGCCGAGGTGCCAAACAACAAATAAGAACAATTGCACCTAGACGGATGTTATAGTGGCAGATACAACCTAAGAAAAGTCAGAAAAGTCTGGCAATGAGGAAATAAATATAAATAAAATCCATAAAAGCTTTCAATTACCTCCTATTCCCTTCAACTCTTGGGTGAATGGCCTCCATCTGACCCAGAAGAACTATCGCTATCAGAATCTGCAAAAGGATTGCAGAACAGAGTCAGAAAATTTTACAGCAGACAAGAAAAGCAAAAAACCTAGACCACCCAAGAAACCAAATAAGAAAAGTTAGCAATGGAACTGTATCAATAGCAGAAGCGAAACAGAGTTTGAGCATACCACTTGAAGAAGACCCTGAGTCACTGCTGGAACTGCTTGAACTACTAGAACCACTCACATTATCCCCCTGCTTTCCAACCTCAACAAGAGGATTAATCTGGTCATCTGTTTAAAAAACGAAACCAATAAGAACTAATCATTTGATAGCCAAGTTATATGTACCTTATAAAAGACCCAAACAATATAATACCTGTTCTATGTTCCGTTTGTGCTTCCACCACTGCTGGGGCTGGATTCTGCAATTACACAAAGTCAGACAAAATATATCAATGGCATATTTAAAAGGGGGCCAAAACTAAAATGGACACCCAAATTTAACAAAGTAACAAACAAAAAGGAGAAACTTCAACCCACAAAAATATCAAATTACTAAAGTTTCCACCCTAATAATGATGCAGAATAGTCAACTATGAGCTTTTTAAGAATAAGATTCAATCTCTTACAGTTTGAGCAGCCTGAGCAGCCTCTGCTCTTCTTTTGAGGGCGAGCTCTGCTTTTCGCTTGTTCTTACTCAGGCTCTTCTTGTAGTTGGTGACAAACCTGTCAAGCTCCCAAAGTGTTTCGGCGTCAACATTGTCAATGTCCACTTCAATCTCATCATCATGTTGACTGAGTGCTGTGCTTCTTTTCTTGATGATTTGAACAATAGCATCAAGCTTTTCGGGAGGTAAGCTTTGTAGGTTTGAACTAAGCTTCTGTTTCTCCTCATATGTCATGTCCCTCTTGTTTGGATCCTTAGCTTTAGGTTTCTTTGGAGCAGTGGTCCTAGGAGGATTGGAATTGGATGGCTTAATAGGCATTGAATCTGATCTATCAAAACCCCTAAATGAAGGGGGGACTGAAGGTGGGGTGAGAACAGGAGCTGGAACAGGGTTAAACACAGGGGGAACTGCCTTTCTTGGAGTAATGACGGGCAACCCAGCATTATAATACGTCTGAGAGGGATAATGTTCCTTCTCTAAAGCCACCCATTTCTCCTCAAATATATTCGACAACTCTTCTGCCATCGTGTGAACATCTTGACCTTTCGGATTGTAAGTCATGGCATTACGAAATACAAGTCTCACATCCTCTGCAAACTCCCTAGCAGAATTATAGAAGTTATGGGATAGCCTACTTTTTATAGTACCCAAATCCATAGGGTGTTTTATAATTAGATGATAATCAGGTATGTTAAGCTTCTTTGCATCTACTGGTTCATTGAACACCCATCCATGCTTATGCTTCATCAGCTTCTGAAGCAAATTTCTACAGCTCTTAAACACTTTATCCCTATTTTGATAGCCATAGCCATACCCATATTCTGCATTGCCATCACGCCTCTTTCCACCGTAATTTAGCTTCAGTCTCTTATTGGTTTCTGGAGGTAATCTATCCTTCCCCAAAAGAAACTCTGAGTTTCTGTAAAACTGATTGGCCTTAGGAGTTCGCTTTTCCTGCTTCTCCTTCTCAACAAATTCACTGATACCATGATTGTTTTCCATCAGCGACACACTCAAGTGCCCAAATGGCCTCGGATCTTGATATCCAACAGGACGAACCTCCGAATTCACTCTATTTAACTGTGGTCGACCGTAGGGATGTCCCACTACACCAACCTCTGACATGGATCTAGCTAGCAGCGGCTGACTATAATCACCAATACCACTAACATACCTAGTGTTAGTGTTAACTTCACTCGTATAAGCAGTAAGCTGAAGCTCCTTCGTCCGGAGCTTATCCACCAAACTCTTAACTTGCTCAAGCTCATGCTCAAGCTTCCTCTTAAGGTTCCTCATTTCATCTCTCGGCCTTGATCCATTTATATCTATCCTAACCCTATCATCAAACTTTGCAACCATAGGCTTGGACAACCCGTTAGCCAAACCAGCAGTAACCACACCATTCACTGGCCCGTCAATCCGAGCATGTGACCGTTCACTGATTGGCACAGTTCCCTGCAGCTCTTTATTAATTTGGGCTGCTGTGGCAGCCTCCACTTGTTCTGAAGTAGTAGTTTGAGCATCTACTAGAACAATCTGGGACTGCGATTGAGTAATACCTGGCAAAGACTCCGGTTCACCAGTGTGTTGCAGCTCCGACGATGATTGTTGCCCATCCCTTGATAAAGACGGCGGCTTTTCTCCACCATTTGGCACAGCGTGTTGGCCACCGTTAGAAAGTGGCTGAGGAAGGGCTTCGGAGTCAAGCCTCAAGGGTGGCTCTCTTTCACCGTTCAGAGCAGAATCTTGTCCATCCCCCAGAACTCCTCCGTCGACTCGAACGCTAAGCGAGGGCGGGCCTTCTCCACCACTAGACACCGCATCCCCGCCACGGCTATCATCTTCCGGTTGCCGAACACCATCAGGCGTCGAAGGCCCAACCTCTGATCGGGAGGGTACAGGTTGCGCCTCCCCGTTTGAAAAGTGCCCATCTTTCTCATCTAGGATTCCTTCCACGGATGGCCGAGAAGCGGTTCCACTGGCGGCAAGATCATCTTTTGCAGGGCTGGAAGAGCTGACCTTTGTGTCGGCAGGCGGTAAGGGGGCGGCGTAGGGCTCGTCGACGGCGGAGTAAGTGGTGGTGGCAGAATCGGAATTTGAGATCCCTAATTTGGCCTTTTTCCGAAAATTCCTCCGTGTGTAAACCTTATCACCCCACCTAACCCGCTCCCGAGCACTCAAATCGCCATTATCAATTGCCCCTACACTCTCCGAATCCATACACACATCTAACTCAAGAAAAGCCCCAATCTTGCAGCCCTCAAAACCCTAGAAAGAAAGAAATCATGCGGGAATTCCCAACGACTAGGGCTTGATTCCAGCGAAATCAAAATGATTCTCAAAAACCCTAGCTCGATTCGGCAAGAGACCAACCAAACCGACCAACCAAACAACAACTTCAAATCGAAAACCGTACGGACTAGGGTTTTGTTCGGAATAATCCAAACCGAAACAAAATCTAAAATTTTTTTGAATAAGAGACGGGAAGATCTGCGGACTTTTTAAAAAAAAAAATAAATTAAAAATTAGAAATAAAAATAAAAAGGGGCACGGAAAATAATCGAAAATAAAAATCTTCGGGGGAAAAAAAATTAGGGTTTGTTGGGGGAAGAGAGAAGAAAGGGGCAAAATAGAGAGAGACAAGAGAGAGGGAGTTTTTGAGAGGTTGGATCCGAAGTCTACTCGCTTTTCCCAGATTTTACTGTTTGTGGGGGGTTAAATACACCGAGGTTACGCGCTTTTTCGTGGGGGATAATTTTATGGCGGTTGGATGCCACGCTCTTGCGTCGTGGTGGGCTTAGATATTTTTCGTAGTAAAATTCGGAGGGCCCCCGTGTGAATCTCTCCCCACGGGTGCAATTTTTCCCTTTTTCCTTTTTTTTATTTTATTTATTAAAAAGTTTTTTATTCAGATTTCGAATTAATTATTATTATATTTTTCATTTCCGGGACAATTTCTTTCCGAAAAATACTTCCTTGCTCGAAAATCTTGTTCGTCAGTTGATGATATTTCTAGTCTAATAATAATTTAATAACTATTTGTTGGACTAGTTAAATTTGCATAATGATTCTTCTGCTTACACAACTATTAATGACATTGCTTATAGTATAAGCTCATTATAAATGCTGACGTTTTAAATGTGTACCAAATGCTCATTGCGAAATTAGAGCCTAATAAATGAAGAGGAATATAAAGAGATTATAGCTTCAAAAATTGATTCCAATTTCAAAAATGCAATCTCACGGAAAAAAAAAGGAGTAAAAAGTATGGTAAACTTTGATTATATATAATTACTCAGTGTTTGTTTGGACGTCAACTTACATCTCATTTTACTACTTAAAAGTGGAAAGTGTTTCAAGTTGAAAATTAAATAGAAAATAAAAATGTTGTTTGGATGTTGATTTTGTAGAAAAAGTATTTTGAACTACATTTTGAAATATCAAGTACAAGTCATCACTAAACAATTAAATACTGTTAATTATAGTCACTGCAAAAAAAAACTTTTCCAAAAACAATCACTCAACAACGACATCCTGCCAAAATTTTTTATCGCTGAACTATTTGTAGTTCTGAAATGGTTATTACACTAACAAAAAGTGTTTCAAGTTGGAATTTAAAATATAAATCAGAAAATTATTTGAATGATGTTTTCTTTTCCATTGGGTTTTGTATTTAAGCGATAAAATGAGGAAAATGTAAAATGAACTATTGTCCAAACAAGACCTTATTATTAGAATTCTTATCCTCTCAAAGTCACATAATATATTAGACTTCATACATTATATTCGTAATAATTTTATAATTGGACTAAATTGTAATGTAATTATCTACATTTATGAGTATAACATATACTGAACTTATCTCCAATCCAAGATTATACATTTTCCCTAAATAATTAAATGCGACAACAGCATTACTAGAGAACGTGAGTAGCACTCTTTTTGGCGAAGGGTTTCTATGCTGAATTCAATTCCTTAGCATGCAATATGACAACTTGTTGTTAGTATATTAAGAAGACTGAATTAACCTTGACGCTCGGATTTGAAATTTGCTAAAAGGACTATACTAACCTTTTCTAATAATTATCATAGTAGACCAGAGAGAAATATTATTATGTGCATTATCTTGCCATCGGCAGAATAATGCAACTTGACTTATTCATTAGATTCGTCTTCTTTTCTTTTAGAAAGTAATTACACATGTAATAATGGCAAAAGATGATTTTTGCTCTCACTCTTGTTAATCAACTAGGATAACACCACCACTAACTTTTTTAATAATACTTGTGTGAGTTAAATTCTTTTTCTTTCTTTTTTTTTTCTGGTATAAAAGAGGTGAATATCTTGAGATTCTAATTAATTAAAGCACGATAGTAAAAAATATCAACAACATCATATTGTAACCAAGGTTTTACACTAGTCGGTGATGCCTGCAGCTACAGAAAACTCCCCAGGCATGACATAATTAAATTTGTTAGAAAATCCGCAACAAAGTTCCGCTCTCGATACACGTGCTTCACCACTATAAACCACGTCCTTTTCATTAACTCCCGGATGACCATCACTAATCCTTTATGTTTCCCAACAACTTCTCCTGTTCCTTCGGCCATCTTTACAACACTTGCCTTGTCAATTTCAGTGAGAATTAGACAGAAACCCAACGTCTAACTTTGCTATAGGCCTTGAAATAATTCCTATAATTTCACGCCGCTAATGGAAGAGAAGTTCATAACAAACCCACCACACCAACGACCCATGTGATTCCTTAAAAGTTCCCCACACTTGACATGCCTGAACGAGGGTTAAAGGATCCATTCTCCTTTTAACTTTAGCCAATTCTCAAGTAGAGATAACCACCGTAACCAGCAAATCTCTTTCATCCTGCATGTAAAGCCTAGCTTTTACTCACAACGCACAGCCAAAGTAACTTCCTCGACAAAGAGACACCCAAACTATTATAAGGAAATTAATGAGGGGGGAAACGCTACTAATGTTGACTCTATTCATGCATCCTCCTAGTGTTCAAATGACTTTTGATTTCATTTGCTACAACTAACTCGCTTTATTCTATTTATCTGCATAGTTGCTTCAAATCTGCTTTGTCAACCAATCTTTTAGAGCTCATATTATTAACATTTTGTGTCATGACTATTGGATTTTGAAATCACACTTTCCTTATTATAAAATAAGTGTTATTAGACAATTTACACATCATTCAAGAAATACTTAAATCGAGTATGTAATTATTAGGATATACTCAGCCTCCCATAGTAAAACAGATAGTTAATATTAATATTATTTTTTAGGGTAATTTTGAAAAAATTTAAGCAAAACTTGCATAGGAATTAGATAGCGATACTTATTTTGATTTTTTTTTTTGTTAAAACGATACTTATTTTTTAATAGAGAATATCATTTTAATAAGTACGTTTCCATAATAATCTAATATGTTCATATTGTTTTAATAAAATAGCTAATAAATGAAAACATAATTGGCGTTAAATCCCTCTACCCAAAAATGCCCAAAAAAGATAAAAATGTTGTTGTTGTTGTTTTTAATCTATATAACTTAATAATAGAAAACCCAGAGAGAGGAAACAGAGATAGTTTTTCACTTCTCACGTAGGACTGGAAATTTTTTCTATTTTTTATTTATTAAAATAGAATAAATTATATCTTCGGTTAAAAAAACTCAGTTGATATTTGTTCTGTCTTTTAGTTAAATCGAAACTCATCTAAATGAACAACCCTACATTCCCGATTTGCTCAATCGAAACTCAAAACTACCACTCAAAATCTTATCCCGATCTTAATCTTCTAATTTTGTTGGAAGATTTTTCAATTTCAAACCATAAAATCTTCAAATTCTAATCAAATTTGTTCTATCTTTTGCTTATTTTAACAAAGTAAATCTTATCATACCAAAATAAACCAAATCTAAGCTAAACAAATCCAAGTATACAAAAATCTGCAAGTTTGAAATTTGTAATTTAACCATAGTAGTTTTTAAGAATTGGGCCGGTTGTGGATTATTTTCAAAAGATACAATCTTATTTAAGAATTTGTATATAGTCAAACCTCACCCCAAATCATCCACCCTAACCATGATTCCCATCTGGCTTCTAAATTAGTATCAAAAGTCTATGGAAACGCTCTTGAAGAATAATAGAAGGAAGGTATTCATGATGGTCTAATTCCAATTATTATTTTTTTCTTACTACTTTATTTGTATATGAATTTTATTAGCGGCCGCCATTGTTGTTTTCCTTAAGGACTTCTTTTTCATGTCTTCTGATGGTTTTGGGTAGGTTGCTCGTGTAAATACTATGATGGTGGTTAGTCAATAGACTTCTCTTCCATTTGAATCTCCATGAAAAGGTTGATTCTGATTGTTTCTCACAAGTTTACATAGTAAACTATTTTTCCCCCCTTCAATTATAGTATCCATGGCTTAATCTTCTCGATGGCAACACATTAAGGTATGTAGTCTCTTTTTTCCCTTTTGGTCTGAGCCTCCCTCAATTTTAACTTCTGATTGAAACAAAAATAATGATTCGCGTGTTAATTTCCTTCTGAATAATTGAGATCGTACCTGCTTGATGATTATTTTTTTTTTCTCTTTTTGTAAATTGATTTCTTGCCTCTATTTATTCTATGAATTGTTGTTGTGAAGATCCAAACTTACAAAGAAAAATAGTAAACCATATGTTGTCGAGAAGTGAGATCTTTGATTGCTTGGACACCAAAGAAACCTCAAAGCCAAAAGATAAATTTATGTCCAAGTAGATCTTGCTTGTTCATTTTTTGCTATGTAAAGTTATGTAACAAATTAATTATTATCCTATTGTATCTTAATAGAAAGAAGTACATTAACAAATTATTTTCCTGGCTTAAAAAGCTATAGAGGACAATATAATATATTATTCCTATCAAAGTATATTATTTTTAATGTGGTTATCTTTTTTCATTTTAGGTGTACTCCTATCGATTTCTTTTTTCAGATGGTTAAGTTAGGCATGAGCACGGTTCGGAATCACCAGTTCACGGTTAAAAAACTTTCGATTTATAAACTTGCGGTTCCAATTCGATTTCGGACAGTTTCGGTTTTGATTTATTGACGGTTTTACTTCGTGTTGTTGACAATTTCAATCCGATATTTTACGGATTTTATTAGATTTTTGTACAATTGTAATTCAAAATATTATTTAATTTTTATGTTAAAATAAAACTAAAGAAATTGATTTAATGAAAAAACAAGTGCATAAGAAAAATAAAATTAAAAATACTTTTAGTAGCATGGGTAACCAAATTTTTAATGATTAAATATAGAATAACATATTCGGGTTTCCCATGATTTCAATAATTAAAAATAAGTATTGTCTTTGTTTTAAAAAAAAAAATATAAGTTTATTTTGAGTGGCACAAGAAGAACTAAGGGTTGATTATTAATAAATGAAACAAAATCTCTTTTACCTAAAATTAATTAGGTCAACCGCTTAATTTAAGTAATAGTGTATTAAGATTCTATAAATACTATTTAAAATACAATGATAATTTGAGAAAAATTTATGAAACTATGCATTGAAAAACAAAATGAATTCATAATTTGCTGTAACCACAAATAGAAAGTGAGTTTTATTTTGAAAGAAAGTAGTATATAAGATACTATTTAAAACTTAGTAGAATCCCATTATACAATTACTTAATGGATTGTGATTGCAATTTTCTATAACATTTACTAATAGTTCAAAAATAACAAAAATATAAGTATAGAAAAATTAAAAATTACATAAAAAACTAACTTCTAATTAGAAATTTTCAATAATTTTTATAAAAATGAAGGTTAACAGACAGGTTATGACGGTCTGAACCGTCGGTTCAAAACCTCCGGTGTGAAGTGCCAGTTTACGATTTTCAAATACTAGAACCGTAAGGCCCTTGACTAGTCGGGCGATTTTATAAATTGCCTCCTATGGTTTCGGTCCAGTTCATGAACTGACGGACCGTGATTAGGACTGTCAACTAACCAAGTCAAGTCCAAACAGTTAGGTGCTCGAGCTCGAGTTCGACAAAAAATTTGGAGCTCGTATTCGAGTTCGAACTCGGTCGAACATTTAAATTGAAGTTTGAGTTTGGCTCGAAATAAAAACGAATAGCTCGTGCTCGGCTCGATTGGCTCGAGTTTTGGTGTCCGATAAAAATTAAGCTCGATGCTCGATAATATTGAACTCGAATAAATTTTAATATTTGTGATGTTTAATTCAATAAATTCAATCTATATATTTTATGAGTAAAATTCTTTGACAAATCATAAAAAATATGCATATCTCATTATTACATCTTCAAAATATAAAGGATAATAATTCTTAAGGAATAAAAAAAGAAAAGTTTTCATGAATTATATATTATTCATAATAAAAATAAAATAATTTATAATAAGCTTGAATAGGCTCGACGAACTCTCGAATTAAGTATATTGATACTCGTATTCGACTCGTCTATCTAACCAAATTGTTAGAATTCGGCTCGAGTTCGGTCAAACCCAAATTCAAGCCAAGCTTTGACCAAACTATTCGCGAACTGCTCGGTTCGTTGACATTCCTAACCGTAATCATGCCTAGGTTGAGGCCATACTTCCCTCATATTAAAACAAGTACAGCACATTAGACTGTTATCTTGGAATGAATAAAGTAATAAATATTTTCTCTTATGAGTGAATCAAGAATATTCATTAAAAAAATATATATATAGCAAATGCAAAGAAGGAATTACACATTATATTTTTCTGTCTCGCACATCGTGCGGGTATAACATCTAGTTTTTTTTTTTAAAAAAATAAAGTTGATGAAGTGGCTAATTTTATCGTCGAGCAAATCCAATAAATAAACATCCAATTGCCATGTGTCATCACTCATCACAAACTCAAACAGGAAAGTGGGAAGGAAGGTATTGTGGCCAATCCATCCATCATTTGATTCATTTCTCATTCATGCCATTTCCAGAATGCCTGCTGCTGCTACATTAGCCCATTCATGGCTCTGTTTCTCATCCGCTCAAAGACCTTCTTCTTCTTCTGCTGCTGCGGCCGCGTCTCTACCAACTTCAATTTCAACTTCAAATTCAGAAGATAACAATCAGTGCAATCTCTTACCAGCAACAAAACCCAAGAGCCTTCTTGATAAACACCCTCTCTGGCAACCAACTCACACAAACATTTCCCTTCAATTCAAAGAGAAAATCCTCTGTTTAGAAGTAATGGGCGTCGATTCAGGCAAAGCATTGTCCTTAAACCCGTCTCTCCACACAGCTTCTCTTGAATCCATCCATTCAATCATTACTTTCCTGGAATCAAAAGGCATCCAACAAAAGGACATGGGTCGGATTTTCGGGATGTGTCCCCAGATTCTGACATCCGACATCAAATCCGAATTGAACCCAGTTTTCAAATTCCTATCCTATGATCTCGCTGTCCCGGATCAAGACTTCAGGAGAGTCATCAACAAGTGTCCCAGATTATTAATCTCCAGTGTCCAGGATCAGCTGAAACCTGCTCTGTTTTATCTCCAGAGACTGGGGTTTAAGGACGTCCAACAACTGATTTATCAAGATCCGGTTTTGTTGGTTTCCAATGTGGAGAAAACGCTGATTCCTAAGCTGGATTTCTTGGTGAGCTTGGGATTTACAAGGACTGAAGCAATTGGGATGGTGTTGAGGTGTCCGGGTTTGTTTACATTTAGCATCGAGAACAATTTCAAGCCCAAATTCGAGTACTTTGTGAAGGAAATGGAGGGGAGTTTGGAGGAATTGAAAGGGTTTCCTCAGTACTTTGCATTCAGCCTGGAGAAGAGGATAAAACCCAGGCATTTAGAAGCACTGAGCAAGGGAGTGAAGGTTCCTCTGCCATTGTTGCTCAAGAGTACGGATGATGAGTTTCAGGAGTTGCTGATTAGGCGACCTGGTTTGTGTGGCTGAGAATTTTTTGTAAATAAAGTTTATAACTACATATTCTTTTTTTTTTTTTTTAATTCTCCTTTTCCTTTTTAAAATGTATATTTCCAGTTTTCTCCTAATTGCTTTAGAGATATTAATTAATTCGACTTATAAATTGGAAATTCTTTTTCCAAAGTATTGTAAGACTCAATAATATGTCTTTAAGACGTAACTCTGTAGTCTGTACAATAGATTGAAAGCTAATGTATCATGTCTTAATTTACAAATTCTATTCTTTCTAATAAAATAATTTTTCTCTCTGTTCCAGAATGATTATTTTATTTGTATTTTAATTATTAATACAATTGTATGTTAAAAATCACAATCAAAATCGGACATTTATTTAACAAGAGAGAGAATAATAAACTTTCTTAAACTACTTTAGTTTAACAAAATGAATCATTATTTCCGGATGAATAAGTCATTTTTATATTTTAATGAGCAAAATTCGAAGTAAACACAATGAACCTCTAAAGACTGTTGTAGCATATCGATTATTATTTGACCTTTCAAGCAGGTTTTGAAGATTGAACTCAATACCGATTGAATATGAATGGAAAAGGTATTTATATATTATCCAAAATCTGTTTTGCATTTGAACATGCCAAATACTTACATTATTATCTCCTCTACATCTTTTATACGTAATTTATGATTAATACATTATTATCACCTCTACATCTTTCATACGGAGTTTTTGATTAATGGTACGTTTGGGAAAAAAAAAATAGTGCTTGGTGAGTAGAATCCGTCGAGCAATTACGAATAAATATTAATATAAAATTTATTATTTATATTTTATATTACAATTTTAACACCATTTACTTCAGAAGAGGTCGACTTATTTATTATCAAACGTTTGGAAAAAAAATTATTAATCAAATAATTTTAAAATTAAGTAATGTTATGAAGAAAGACCTAACATATTTTTTTAAAATATTTTTTTTTTTTAAAAAAAAGATGAAATGACTTGCTTTTTCGTTATGTTTAGGGAAATTATATTTCATCCAACATTACTGCTCCTTACTTCTCAAGTCGATTGCAAAGTTTATTAGTATATAAAAAATCAGAAAAAACAATATTATTAACACGATCATTTCGAGCGGAAAGGGTAGAATAAATCAGTAGGGGTTTAAGCTAACTTGAAGTGGGGCAGATCAGTGACCAGCCCAATGTCCTCAACCCTCAACACCCAGTGGATAGCCCATCTTTTCATTTACGGGCTTTAAAAATCTCAGTTGTTATATGAGGTTTTGGGGTTGGTCATTTTTACAATAACCTTAGAATATACCTTTTTTTTTTTTTGTTGTTGCGGATATTCTCCGTCATTTTCCAGTGTCCCTTGATTATTTTGATGAAAAAATCTACTATCCAAGTATTTCGAACGCATTAAATAAATTAATAATTATCGACACTGGCTATATACAAGAAACCCCATGTTTACTAAGAATTCACCTTTTAGTTTTTTTTTTTTTTTAGCATAAGTATTTGTATTTCGAAAACATTCGATAAAAGTGGAGCAATATAGAATCTTGGCATTGAAATTGATTTTTTTCAGTCCAAATGATGTTTTCATTTTTCAATTAGATAGGGCTTTTTGAGAAAAAACAAAAGGCAGGAAAAACAATTTTTCATATTAGTAGATGATGCATACCAATCGTGTATAGAGTCAAGCCCCGTGGACTTTGCTCAAGTGCTTATGCCTTAACCAATGTTCATTATAAAGCCATTAAATTATTGCATGTTTGGTGATCATTTCATCATTCGCCATCCTAGATACACCATTAAACATAATGCACCATCGGAATTTATTTTAAGCCATCCATTCGGATTTTACTTTAATCTCAACTCTCAAGGCATGCTCCAGTCCAGCATTATGAGTTGATTAATAATTAGTTTGTTTATATATATATATATATCCACATTATTTATTTATTTGTATAATGCAATATACCCAAATGCAAAAAATAAAAACAAATACACAAAGCCACTTATAACTTTCCGTTCATGAACTACCAAAGCTTCATTAATCAAGAAATCAAAGCTTTAGCAAGCCAACAAAAGGCGGCGTAATTAAAACCTAAAAAGAGGTCCCTTTTTTTAAAAACAAAAAGTTAAAATCTTTGTGTCCGGCTTATTCATTCTCTCATCAAGCAGAAAAAGCATATATTACATAATCGACGTCATGTGTCACTATCTGAGCAAAAAAAAAAAAAAAGAGAAAGATTCTATGCATGAAATTAATTAACAAACTGTTAATTGATTCCAAATGTCACTGTCTGACCTAGAAACGACCTACCTTGTCAAGACAAGAAATAATTTAGTTACCACTTGAGCAGAAGTGATTAATTCATGCAAAAAGCAGAGAATTTTTGTGATGTGGCCATTTTAGTAGTTTAAGCATAATATGCAACTCATAAAGTGCACTTTCTTTATTGAGATAGGATAAAGATATTGCAAATACTAGAAACTATAATCTCAGTAAATGTCAAATTTCATTTTTTTTTTGTATTCATCTTAAACTTAAAAGCATGCACACCACTATACTAAGATTGCATTACGTATTGTATACATTATTAGTAAAAAATATGAAGATAATAAACTCATTAAGAAAAACTTCTTGTGCCCCTTTATTTCTCTTTCTCTTACGGAAATGCTGAAAATCACACTTTAATACAAACTCTAACTCGTTGACCAATCAAATGGTCAGTTACATCTCTATCAAACCTAAAAAGTAATCCTCATTGGCACCATGCAAAGAGCAATTTGGGGAATGCAAGCTAAACGAGAAGTCCACAAAAAGACAATAAAAACCTAAATGGTAGATACATATTTCGACGAATTGATCAGTCACTATACCAAAATCGCCGTTTCCATGAATTAATGATGTCTGGGATCAGGTCCTGCTGGTGCAAGACGGTTGACATCATAGAGAGTATTTTGTATGGGAAATGCACGTAATCGTCTCGAACTCGATTCAAGTATCTTATGTGCCATTTCTATTAATGTCTCTTTCCGTTCCGAATGAAGATTGGGAAAGACACGGCTTTCTGTGGTAGAAACCGAGAGTATCAAGAGAAGGATGACACATAACCATACCCTAACCCTAAAAGCCATATTGTGGAGGATTGAGTATTAACCCTTGAGAAGAATGAGAAGCTATAGATTGAGATATAGGGGGAATACATGATCAGGAGAGAATGACCAGCGTTTATATAGGCCTTCATTCTCACACAGAATTCATTTCAATATATATATATATATATATATATATATATATATATTTCAATTGTACTAAAAGAGGTCAATAGGACAAGGATTACTTCAAGGATCGCACTTTGATGGTGATTACATTACATATGAATATAGCTAGTGTAGTGGGACAAAACACATAGACCAATTTTTAAAACTAAATTCGACTTCTTTTTGTGAATTTCGTCGTGGATAAAGCCTTCCCCTTTAACATATTATATTATTTGACCCTAAAAGAAAACTTAGCTGGAAAATCATCTACTTTTGTGTAGATGGTCGGCTTAAAATTTGCGTATTTATTTATTTTTGGATATTGGTATATCTGGGTTTCATAATTAACAGCCATTTTCATCCAATAAACTGTGCTCTATGTGGTTAGTAGGCTATAGATAGTAGCATGCATAATCATACGGCATAGTTCCTCGAAGACATAGGTCCTCTTCTGAGCCTCGAAGAACATTGGCTTTTTTTCTCCTCTCAACTTTTCATATTCTATGAGTGATGGCAATAAGAGTTGAATCTTGCTGAGTCATTGGTATTTGGACTAATCCTCGTGATGATCTAAGGGGTTTTGGAGGTTTTTGACTTGGCAGTTGGAACACCTTATTCGTTGTTATAACATTCTTGCAACTTTTCGCATGTGATGTATGCTTAGATATTGCAAACCCTAGAATTCGTCCCATTTTCAACTGTTTATTTTGTTAATTAACTGTATTAAAATGAAAGGGAAGAAATGCTTGTTAACTACTCCCTCCTTAGGTCCTTATTATAAGGTATTTTGATTCCGTTATAGGTTTCACCTAAGATGTCTTTTTAATTGGAATAAAAACATTAAACATATGAGTATGTTAATGTTTTATAGATGATGGATACATACACAATTCATTAGGGAATTGATCATAGGATCCATTTTAATTAGACAGTGTAGTTATATATGATTAACATCTCATTTTAGTGAATTAAAACCGTACAATAATATAAATTTTTTTTTTGAACACATATTCATAAAAAAAGGTGTGAAGCAATGATACAAACCTTAGGGGTTGGGAGAGAAAAAAGATCTTTAATGTATTCGGGGTCTTATAAAAATATTCTTGCTCGAAACAAATTTAATTTAAAAACCACAAGTTCATTTTGGGATGAGCACTTTTTATTCTTTCAATCCTTTTTTTTAACACGATTTTTCCAATCCTAATTATAAAGTAAATTCGAAAAGGGGAAAAGAAAATTACAAATTTGAATTACATTCAGTTTTAAGTCACACATTTGAAAAGAGAAACTAACAGAAACACACACATTTGAATTGGCTTTTAGTTTTAGTTGCTGCCATATGAATAAGAATATTAGTGATAATAATTTTCAAAAGAAAGTGGCATATACGTAAAGGACTAAAGGTTGTGCGGCAGTTTTTCCGACCCTCTGCGGTTCCTAATAGCTAAGTTTTGTTATGAAACATTTATTGTGAATGTCTTTTACTCTACGTTCTCTTTAAGTCTTTATCTTCCATTTACTATAAACTCCATTACTGATTATTAACTCATGTAATCTTTTACATGTATGGAGTTAATGTAATCTAATGTTTTATGGTGATTATAAACCTATAAATAAAGGCAAAAGTGAATAGAAAAAGACGGACCAAAAACTTACGACAATTCATTCGCTCTTTATTTTCCTTGCTTTGCTATTTTCTTTTAAACAAGTTTAACGTTGTTTACACATTTCTTTCAAAAAAAAACGTTAATTACACATATTTATCCAATATAAAATATATGTATTTAATAAGAGCTAAAAGGAGATCGACTTGAAAAATATAATTTAAGCCCCATCATGCCTACCACTTCTGTAACTAACATTAATTAATAATTATGCTTAGAGAGTGCAATGAGTGTACTAGGATGAAGGATCCAAAATATACTGATTTTCCCTCCAATTTTTGCAAGGTGTGGAACCGTGATTAGAACACAACATAATCGGTGTTTTATCGAAGTAATGTTAATGTAATTGTGTATAAAATATGCTTCTTTGTTTGTAAAAAAACAAATTGATAATAAAAATTGCTAGGTCTGAGAATAAAGAAATGCATTTACCTTTCTGAAAATAATCTCGTTGAAATTTGACTTAGAAAAACAAATCAATCGAGAACCCGAAATGTTTAAAACTTTGCAATCGTCCACGTACTTGATATAGCATACCCTCCACAGAAAGTGGGGAGGAGAAATTGACAATTTTGATGAAGTAATACTCTCCTCGTCTTAAAAAATAATTATTTTTAAATTTTAGTATTGTAAAAATTTTTACCTCCTTCATTTTAGATATTCCCAAATTATTCAATTTGGATAATTTTTACTTCAAATTGTACTAAAAGTGAAATCTTAAATGAATAATGATTTTGAGATAGAGAAAATACTAATAATATTCTAGATGTACATCAAATCTGATCTACTGATAAATGATTTGGAGTATGAATTCATGAGGCATCGATATTGGAATGTTCTTTCGAACGCATAATGATGTGGTTTAATTTAGTCGTACACCCAAATTCGATTATCATAAGTGCTAGAACACCACCACTTTTTCGCTTTTGCTCATATAGTCCAGCAAAAAGTGCCCGACAAACCAATAATTTTTGTTACTTAAAACACATTAAACCTCAATACCTCGTTTAATTTAGTTAATCCTTTTCTCTTTTCCTTGTTTAGTTTTTTTTTTGGTTTTTGTTTTTGTCTTTACCATGAAGAAGATCAGATTTCAGTGGACTGAACTCAGTGATGAAGACTTGAAGTAAAAGCCAGAAGTCCAAACCGGACTCCCATTATCATCATTTAAACATAATTATCCAAAATTACCATTTAGATCAAATAAAAATGGGCATGATAAATAAATTTATTGCCATAAACAGCCACTGCAACTGTAAGGAACTGACAAATGGAATTCACTGAAAAACCTTCCTGTGGCTGATAGAGCTAGCACTGATAATTTTCCTTAGTAGAAGATAGCTAATAATTACAATTTTCCAGAATCATTTGTTTGACTAAAAGCTAGAATTGACAACTAATGTTTATTTAATTAAAGTTGTTCTTCATAAAATAAGTTGGTCAACCTCAATCCACATAGAAACCAAGTAATTATCTTTCGGCCGATTCATGATATATATCCATAATGCAGTCACCAGTCAGAGGTCTAATAGTCAGTATGTTGTTAGGATCTAATTTTACATTGTGTCTTATAAATATAACCTAAGGAAATACTCCCTCCGTCCCATAATTATTGTCCAATTTGGACTTTCATTTCTAGTTCAAATTGTACTAAAAGTGAAATCTCGAACTGGACAATAATTATGGGACATGGTAGTATTTTTTTACAGCTTTGTTTGACCTTTTTTTTTTTTGATTCATTACTTTAAAGTCTAAACTGCGATTCTCGTCTGTATTACAACTATATTTGGGATGAATATTACCAAATACTTTTACTATTCAACTAATTTACCTTGAATTTTAATTTATGCTTTAAATTAATTATCAGAAAACATGATCAAACACTACAGAATTTCAAATGAAGTTTGAATTAATCGTACTTGCGGTTTGAATTTAGTTGGTCGAGCACTTGTATCACTCATTACCATGGAAGTGGAAAAATCGTACCAACTTGGGAGGATAAGAAAAGGATTGAACTTAATTAGGGTACTTTGGGGGGCACTTTCTTCATTAATAAGCTGATCCAGTTTAATGGAAGAATTTAAAGTCCCCAGTGGAACATCCATGTTTAAGTTTATCTTTGCATTTATAATGATGAAAAGTGTTCTATCAAGCTTCGTTTATGTGATAACATTATTCCTTAACCATCCATACTGGAGCTGTACTATTTTTTCATCTTTTTGTCTAATCCCACTAAAGGTTTTTTTAGACTTTGCTAATGAAAGTATATCTTTGTTTTTGGAGGAGAAGATCACGCAGAATGGTAAGGTTAGGAAATTGTAATCCGAATATCAAATATTCAAACTTAGCTGGAAGCAATCCAATATTTTTACCCTTTTTCTGGGGAGAGGGGAGAGGGTAAAAAAGTTCCTCTTTGTAAGAACTTAACAAATTAGAAGCAATGTGGAATGAACCCTTCGCCAATAATTAATTGCTCAAAATGCTAAGTTTGATCCTCTTGAAACATCCCACAAATTAAGAACAAAAATTGAAATAAAAACCTTTTAAACAAACCCATTGTAGACATTGTATGCTTCTCCATTTCTTTCTTTTCTTTTCTTCTTTTTGGTAGAGATGCTTCTCCATTTCAGATTGTTAGAAAGAGGTAAACATGATGTTTCAAGAGATATTAAGGGGAAGAATGTATCAATCAGATTTTGTTAAGTCATTACTTACAATATATAACAATAGAGCATAGTTCGATACCTATTCTGATACTGCCTTTACAAGAAGACTTCTTGACGTTGCTAATTATCCGATGCTAAAGTATCTGGCAGGATAGGCAACTTATCTACAGTGTAGGGTGAACCATTACTCTTGTGGGCTCTAAGGAGTTCATCATCTTCATCTAGCCCCTCATTCAGTTGCTCATCGCCGGTATTGGTACTCTGAAAGGGCAGAATCCGGAGCCTTACATGAGGTACTGCACCAACCCTTTCGGATTTTAGTTTGTACTTCCGGATAAGATCCTTCTGAAGAAGCAACAGATTCTGTGGTCTAGGGAGTAGTTCTACTGCTTCGCCTCTAGGAATCACAACTTGCTCTATAGCTGTTCTTGCCTCCTGCAAAGTAAATAATGCTAAGCTAAATTTAAGGCAGAAAGCTAGCCTAACGTCTTAACAGCTTAGTTGTACCATTGAAGCTAAAAAACTGAGGCCCAAAAAGGCACTGTCATGAAACTAGACAAAAAATGTATATAAGAATGAATAAGACAACAATAATCTACCTCCAGTGCATCAATCTTTTCCGACTCGTTGATCACAGCTTCAGATTCAGGAAACTCTAACCCATCTTTATAGTCAGTAAATAGCGCCTGAATGGCTTTCATTAACTGAGCCACTGCACTTGTCTGTGGAAGTTTGCCTTTAGTAGGAATGAAAGGTGGACAAATAAACAAATTGGCCTAACAACGAAAGAAGAGGTACCAGGGCAAGTGCATACTTTTGTGATATAAATGGGAATGCCACGAGATCTTGCAGCTGCTTGAATACGAGAATTCTTTTTGAGCTTGGACTGCAAAGCTAGTAGTACATCTGCTTCGCTAATATTATCTGTGAAGTTGATGGCCTCATCTACTTTTAATTGCTTCATTCCTTGTATCACGCTAGCCTCAGATACCTAAAACACCTGCTTACTGGGTGAGTTAAACCTTTTTAACTTAAAAGAAGACTTTACAACTTGCACAAAACTATCACAACTTCTAATTGTCTTTCCAATTTTCTGGAAAACCTTCAACAAGTTGAGATTACAAATCAACTATTGGTGCTTATGTTAAAAAACCCATTAAAATTTATGTCAACTTTAATGTTTAAGTTCAAGGTTGTGGGAAAAAATAAGGATTGCTGATGAAATTCAGTAAACAACACCTATTTTTTGTTTTGAGTGCATGTAAAAGAACTACTATCAAACAAAAGTAAATAATTCCATAAGGAAAATATGTTAATGCTATTTCTGCTGAGAAAGTATAAGGTTAAATCTCCATCTATTAACAAGCTAAGAAACAATCTGAAGGGTAGTGCCTTGAGCAATAACCATAAGAAATGAAATCTTACCCCATAAAGAAAGACGCAGAGTGCAGTTTCATCTTTAGAGACCCTCTCATCATCGATTAAATCTAAACCACCTGAAGTTTCATCTTCGTCAAGGAACTCATCATCTTCCACCAATAAACTATTCTCAGGCAAATTATTATTGTTAACGTCCAACATATCATGATGGGATGAACTGTTTTCTGCTTCATCTTCAACTCCCCTTATTTTTCGAACTTGATAAGATGGGTAGCGTCCTACCACATAAAAATATTAGTGCCACGAAGATTCACCCTAGCCAGGATGATTATGTGAAAAGGTTGAAGTAGGATTTTGCATGAAAAAGGGAAATGATACCTGCAAGAATAGCATCTACAGTTGCCTCTAAACTACGATGCACTCGTAGTTCTGTCTTGGAAATTATCTCAACTGCACTGCTAAAGGTTGATGGCCCTTTTCTCTCTTGAACTGTTTTCTGAACTCCCCTCCGGCTGGCCTCTTCATCCCCAAGTGTCACACTCTGGGAAACAGTTAATTGTGTATTTAGATAGTTGACACTTAGCAAATTAAATTTTTGAAAAATTTTAGGAGTCAAGACACAGATAAACTGAAGGCCCAGACTGCATGAAGAAACTAATGAGCACACCAGGAAACCTTGTTTTAGTCACTAGGTATGTATGAACATACACACGCAAAGAGAATGTGAAATGTGTATTAAAGCTTGAGGATACCTGCACTCCACCAACAAGCATATCCAATGCAGGATTCATCACTAAATTGTCAATTGTGACTCCATGAGCAGTGGCCACTAACTGAATTCCACGCTGTGCAATCGTACTTGCTGCCAGTGCTTCAAGTTTTGTACCAATTTCATCAATTACAATAACTTGAGGCATGTGATTCTCAACTGCTTCGATCAGCACCTGGATGTACAATAAGTTACATCAATAAACTGAAGCTAAACTAAAGTAACTGAAATGAACTGACAATCAAAAGTCTATCTATCTATTGACAAACTCCTTCCATATCTCCACAGGCCTTCACAAACATCAAATACCTTCAAATGGTTCACCAAAAGAAAAGAAAAAGAAAAAAGAGCTTCAATGAATGATAGAGTGCTAATTAAGGAACCCAAACGAACAAACTTGTATGACATCTGTGCATATATTTATCACTTCACTCATCTAAGTCACAATGTAAATAGGCATAAGACTACCCTTAAACTCCTAACTAAAGCTTATTTTACCGGACAAAGGCTTAGTTGTTATATTTTAATACAGAAGCTGCTTCATGCTGCCATTAAAATATTTACCAAGTAAGTCATTATAAAGAAACAAATATTCTTCAGTGATAGTTTGATGTGCATTTTTTTCTTAATGAAAACCCTGTAAACCGAAACAAGCGAATTATGTCAGGGCCAAACATCATTGATGTCCCTATGATTGGTTTAATGGCCTCAGGTACAAACGAATAGTTCAAAAGTTCAACTTGAGTGATAACTGGTTCTGGAAGATATTGAAGCATGATGTCTGAATTGAAATAAGGTGCCACTGTATCTATACACTATACATTTTGGGAAGGAATCAAAATCTAATCACAGGTTAATAGAACAAGTATTTTTTGGATATTTTGATATGTTTGATTTAATTGGTTAGAGACTTTCACTATTCCACCTCCAAAAATCTGCTTGATTGTAATTATCAATTCAAACGAAATTCTGACTGAGATCGTTGAACTTCCCCAACTTAGTTTCACGTTTCTCTAAACCATGGTGGCGTACAAGATAGAACTTATACCTTGTGCTGCATGTCAGCATGAGGCACTTGCATCCTTCTAGCATTCCCTATACCTGCATGAGGTATATCGCCATCTCCACCAATTTCATTTGACGTATCAACAATCATGACTCGCTTCTCGTAGTCATCTGCAAGCATCCGTGCTATGTCCCTGATGTAAGGATGAGTAACCAAAAAGAAAATGAGCAATCACATTTTAGTTTTCAAACCCAAGTAAGCCAACAAAAAACCATATATAGCCCTTTATAATATCTCAGGAAGTAAACTTATGGCTCCTTATCATTATGATCTTACATGAACTTATCTCAATTTTCAAGCACGGATACAATTGTTAGGGCATCAGCTACTCCACTTTTTCCGAGAGCGAACCAATTCGATTAAGTAACAACAGTTGGTCAATTCTCTTCTACAAATCTTAGCCAAGAAATTGAAATTTACCATAAAAATTACTTGTATCAGATGCATGCAATATCTTCTTCTCAACTTTCAAGGGACTGACCAAGAAAGAAAGTGTACAGTGTACTCAAGAAATAGAGTGGAACCAAGCTTACCTAATGATTGTTGTTTTACCAACGCCTGGAGGACCAATGAGCAGTAATGAAGCCCCATCTTTGACCAAATCCCTCAGCAAATTGGCACTTCCTGACAATGCTCTTCCAACACGACAAGTTAACCCAATGATTGCACCTTTCCTGTTTCTAATAGCACTAATCCTATGCAGAGTTCTGCTAATTCCAGCTCTATTATCAATTGCAAAATCCCCAACCTGAAGTTTTCAACACAAAAGAACAAACCAAAATGAAGCTAAAATCACTGAGCTCTTGAAATTATTTTGCAATAAGGTTCCAGTCTAAGTACACACCTGAGAAATAGCATGATCAAGGTCTTCCATAGTAATGGGACGATCCCACAAGACGAAGTCACCGGAAGGGAAGCGAGCAAGTGGCTTCCGGCCCAAATCCATGACCACCTCGATCAGGTAGTGGAGCTCCGGATGGTCACTGATCTTCCGCCGCATCTCCTCCGGCAGTAGGGCAAGGAGACGGCCCAACTCCACGTCGAAATCCTCATCACTTAAATATTGGTAAACCGACGAGTTCCCTAGGGAAATGCCTGGAAAATTCGCCGGCGGCCTCAATAACATCAACCCATTAGGATTTCGGGTCGGGCTGTTGCGGACGTTCGGAAGGAAAACGGGCTTGAATGAATTCGCAGGAGAGGAGAAGAAGGAAACAGGGTTACGGAGAGGGAAGTGACGAAGAAGAAGGGCAGGAAAATGGAGCATTATTATTTTTTTGGCGCTAAAATTTGGGTGCTCATCGGTGGCCGATTGAATTTTTTTTAGGGCAAATGGATAATGGTTGTTTTTTCGATTTTGAGTTTGTCCGGTGAGAATTATTCTTTGGTTTAATTACAAGATTCCCCTGAAATTTAAAAAATTACGGTAACTTCCTAGTGTTGGAAAAATTACGAAAATTCCCTACCCTCAAGTTGATGATTGAGAGTTGTTTTCATTTTTTTATTTTTTTTTGGGTAAACAATCTAACCAGACCGATTGAGTATCTATAGTCTAACTCTGGAAACAAAGAGATAAAAGTAGAGGCTATATTAGAAAAGTATAATCTTCTATTTATATTTTACATTTAGATTTTATTTTACGAACATAATCTGACATAAAGGTTAATATAACTTCAAAGTGTATACTGTATACATATTACTCCCTCCGTTCTAAAATATATATCGTTGGAGGAAAACTAATTTGTTTCAAAATAAATGTCATTTTCGTATATCTAGACATATTTTGTCAACTTCTTCCAACATTGCCCTTACATGGAAAATTATAATTATATTTAAAGTAGAAGTGTATTAGAACCAAATGATATAGAAAATAGAATTATATTGAGAATAAATGAGGGTAGTTTAGTATTTTAATCAAATATTTATTGTCTTTTTTAAACTTTGTGAAACTCCTCCAGCGACATATATTTTGGAATGGAGGGGGTATTATATTAAACTTTTTACTCAGCCCATTGCATTTGTGAGTGGTCATAATTGTTAAATTCCATGAAATTTAGAGTTATCATCAAAATACTCTGTACTCTCTGTTTTAAAATAATTGTTCAATTTGGATTCTCATGTTTAGTATAATTAAAATTAAAAGTAAAAATTCAAACTGGACAACCATTTCGGAGAGAGGGAATATTACATTTTTAGTACTTAGCGATATCAATAGCAATGTGCAAATCAATTTATACCTATTATTTTCCATAGAATATAACCCTTTCAAATATATATATATATATATATAGATGTTTTCATATGTTGCGAAAATAGAAATTTCAGTCAAAATATATAGTAAAAAATTAATTCTTAACTTTGTATTTTCAGATAAATAAACATTATTGATCTTGATACTCATATAATGGTCACTGTTTCTGTAAATATTCTGAGCATTAGATCTTTTCTTGAGGATCTGAAAATTAAGGTGTATGAACGTTCGCGTTACAGAATTCTTGATAAGCTAATTGTGAATCTCTTCACTATCCTTTGCTTTAGTTCTCTTCGAAAAAATTTAAAATTCACGAGTGATTAGTTGTGCTTTAGTTTTAGAGCAAGTTTTTTTAGAAGTCTTGAAGCCATATTATTTTTTCTTGCAATTCCTTTTGATTTGGGTTAATTGTGTTTTTGGGTTGGACCTGTCTCATGGCGTGTTGAGCTAAATTCATCGGGAAAATATTTTCGGTTACTCTCTCCTCAAAAATGTTAATGGTTGTATGCTTAAAACTAATTATTTAAAAATTTAAAAACAAATTAATTTGTTTGAACATTATTGTTCGTGTTTATAATCACTAGTAGTTTGTCATTACTCAGTTACTTCAATGGTTCGATGATTTCTTTCACAGTTTTCAACTGTATAAAACTCCTGCGAATGTATTTAAGAATAGTTGGGAATGTGTTTGAGCCTCTATGGATGATTGATTTTAGGTTTGGTTGAGCTTTTAGCGTACTAGTAGTGCAAAAAAAGAAAAAAAGGATAGAGTCTATCATGTTCCCGGTACTACACAATATGAACTCGATTCTTTGGAGTAAATGAACATACATCTAAATTAAGTATTCTTAATTCATAAGAGACGAATTAGCTAAACAATAAATACATATTGGAATAGGGGTCTAGGGCCTTGCAACCCGCAGCTAAATGAAATTCAAATAAGAACCACTAACAAGGAAAAGAGTGCGCTCCACGAAAAATTTGCCGAAGGCAGGAGTGGCAGTTATTTCTTTTTGGAAGAGGCTTGAAAGAAACACAAAAAGAGCAATCTGATCCATTGATTCCGTTGATTTTGCTGTCTCGGATTGCCACATAAGTAGTGGGAATTGGGTTAAAAAAAGACCGACGTTTCTTCACAAGCTCCTCCGCCTCCAGCCGCTGATCATAAAAAGAAGGTCGGTACTGCTGCTGCTGAAGCTAATCAGAAGGAGGTGGTGGGTGCTGCTCAGTCTTCTCAAGCTCAAGCCGTCAATCATATCAGACCTTCTGAATTACCAGAATCTCTTCAATGCTTGAGAGGTCTGAGAGCTAGGTATGTGTTCAAGGATCAAAATCCAGGGGCCGTTGTGGATTTAGAATCTCAAATTCAAGAACTGGAGAGGAAGTGTTGACATTTGATGAGGTTGATGTTGAGTACGAAGAAGACATGAGGATTGTCGCTGAAACCAAGGAAAAAAAGTATTGGTTGGGAGGTTGTGATGACATGTCGTAAGAAGAACCTTCAGAAGGGCAGAAGAAAGGAGCATTATTATTCTACAGTGTTTTTTTGGCGCTAAAATATGGCTGCTCACCGGTTGCTAATTGAATTTTTTTGAACAAATGGGTAATGGTTGTTTTTTCGATTTTGAGTTCATCGGGTGAGAATATTCTTTGGTTTCATTACCAAGATTTACCTGAAGTTTAGAAAACTACGATAACTTCATAATGTTGGGGAAGTTACCAAAATTCCCCAACCTCAATTTTCTCTATCCATGCTGGTTGAGAGTTGTTCTAACTTATTTAACCAGACCATTAGCATCTACAGTCTAAATCTATAAACAAAAAGATAAAACGAGAGCTTACCTAAAAAAGTATAATCCTCGGTTTATATAATGTATATATATTATTATATCAAACTTTATACTCAGTCGATTGCATTTGTGAGTGATCAAAAGTGTCAAATGACATGAAATCTAGAGTTATTTTCTAAATACTTTGCACTATTTGTTTCACATTTAGTATTGTTTAATTAAAAAATGAAAGTCCAAACTGGACAATTATTTGGGTATGGAAAGAGTAATATATCTTTAGATTTAAGAGATATCAATCGCAATATACATAGTCAATTTATATCTATTATTTTCGTAAATAAAACTTTATCAAATTATTCTCAAATGTCAAATTACCAACGGTCGTCAATGCCTTCTTAGCCATTTGAATTACCTAAAAGCTGCGCTTTTGGTTCTTTTTCAGAACTTAATGTTTATAATTCAATATGTTATAGAAAATTGAAGATTTATATGAGTTTGTTGTAAGCAAGTGTTCATTTTTTGGTTTAATAGATCCTGAAGTGCATACATACATATATATATACATACATATATATATAGTGCATACATACATATATATATACATACATATATATATATACATATATATATATATATTGTCTCAATTTGATTCGGGAAGACTAATCAATTGCATCCACTTCCCTCCAAATTTGTGAAAACTACCCGATATCTCCAAGGTTTTAGAAACCACTAATACCCTGTTAATTTTTAAAAATATGACATATAACCCCTCGGTAATTACAAATGATTAGACAGTAAAGCCAGATGTTTGAAAAGGTGAATGGTGTGTTGGTAATTTTTACATACTCCCTTTGAGGAGTGTGGATGTAATTTATCTTAAAAATTTGTTGCCAAAAAATAATGGTTTTGTTTTAATTTTTCCTTTTAACGCAATGATACTAAAAGTAAATAAAATTAAAATATGATTATAATTTTGGAACAAGAAAGTATGTGATTAAGTTGCGTTACCATTAAAATTTCAAACCTATTATAAATCAAGCTTTCATGGATATGCTTGATGTTCTCATTAAAAGGCATTAGCTAATTAATTATAGATCTACTACCTCACAAAATGAATTTTTTCTTTTTGTTCGACAATCATTTTAAGACAGAGAATTGTTAGACTGCTATCACCACCAATTATCTATTAGTATATGTTAGTGGCATAACCAGCTTAATTAGTGCAAGTTGAATTAACTTACAGTCCACCTGGAAACTTTGAGCCCAAAGAAGCTACTTTAACCACATTCATTTTAAGTTTTGAGCCATCCCTTGTGTAGAGTGTTTGCTCTATTGTATTTCTCAGGATGCTGTCTTGAACATTTGAAGGAGAGGAATCAGACTACAAGAGGGCCTCAATTCTCTAAAACACAAGTGATTATTTATATGGGTTGAACCTTTCGAATCAGGGACTTAATCAGCCAACATGGAAAACGTTCAACTGTCTTAAAATAAGAGTTATTTTAATTTTATTGTATTAAATTAATTCTAAAATTACGATTCTTATCTTGGGACGGAAAGTACTGTATTATTACTGAAAACTTTCATAGTAATGTATATTGTAGCCCAAAATAGTCCGAAACCGATACCCCCGCTCGCAGAGATGATCAAAGATTTGATTAACCTTCTATTGGCCCTATCTTTCAGAGAAGAATATCAATACCTTCAAATAGGTTGAACAGTAGATTGTCACCACTGCAAAACAAAACTTTAGATGTTTCCCCCTTGTGAATTTGTACAATGCAAAGGACATGTACTTTAACATTAGTTTTAGATCACTGATTAAATGCACTCTTGTCATCTTTTTTGGAAGTGAATGAAAATGTTAGGTAGTACTAAGTACTTATAATGGTGTCCCAGATTTCCCACTGCAAAAGAACCATCATCACCAGCAGATCCCATAGCTTCTAGTCATGTAGTTCATTAATTGTCCGTTTAAGAAACAAATCAAAAATTAAAGTTGTGGAGCGAAACTTCCTCCATCAAACTTTAACATCAATTGGAAAATATCTTTAACTTGTCTGCCTGCTGATGATGATCAGAAAGTTCTCAATTTGCCATTTTATTCTTGAGTGACTCTCTAATATGTTAATGTTGGTGTGATTATTTTTTCCATCTTTGGCTTATTTCATTTCCTCAGGGTAGAAATCAAGAAAACTGAGTTACAGTTTGTTTTATGATGTCCTACGAAACAAATGTCCTGTCCAAAATATCCAGTAATATATCCAATGGCAGTACTTACAATAATCAATTGCAAACACAAAAAAACACAGAACGTGGACTCCAGGTTGTGTGGGAGGAGTACAGAGGCATAAGATATGGTATAATCTTTTTCAAAGGTAGCAAGAATGGGGAAAAAAAAAAAGTCAAAAACACCGTCACATGCCCAATGAAGAAGAGTAAGAAATGGATTAACAA